CCTGAATTAGATTTGGGATCCATGGGAATCTGGCTATGCCACGTTGAGTCTGCTATCTGTGTTTATGAGGACGTAACTTTGTTGCAAGAGGGTTAGTGGCAAAAGGATGGCGTGATACCCTGCTTATATAAGCCATATTGCACCTTTAATTGATTTGCGCAAACATTTTGGTTTCACATCTTCTCTCCCTCCTTCCTTGCTCCCTCCCAATTCTTTCCTCGTTCTTTTTTTCAACGACTTTTGTCCTACCATGGCTGCTAACGGTCACGCGCGTCCTGCCCTTGCACCTGGACATTTTTTGTTCACCTCCGAGTCTGTAGGTGAAGGTCATCCCGGTTAGTTTTGTCGTGGTCAAAGCTTTGCAATGAATCTAATGTGTAACAGACAAGATCTGTGACCAGGTTTCGGATGCTATTGTGAGTACCCACTTGATACAATCATCGCAGAAAACGATCTGATCAATATCGCAGCTTGATGCTTGCCTTGAGCAAGACCCTTGGTCAAAGGTCGCTTGTGAGACTGCTTCGAAGACTGGCATGATCATGGTGTTTGGAGAGATCACCACCAAGGCTCAGCTCGACTACCAAAAAATCATCCGTAACACGATCAAACAAATCGGTTACGATGACTCTTCCAAGGGCTTCGACTACAAGACTTGCAACATTCTCGTTGCCATCGAGCAGCAGTCTCCCGATATCGCCCAGGGTCTGGACCATGGCTCTCTGGAAGACCACGGTGCTGGTGACCAGGGTATCATGTTCGGTTATGCTACCGACGAGACCCCAGAATTCATGCCTTTGACCATCATGCTTGCGCACAAGCTTAACCGTGCCATGGCTGATGCTCGCCGATCAGGCCTTCTGCCCTGGTTGCGCCCTGACTCAAAGACTCAAGTCACTGTCGAGTACAAGAATGAGGGTGGTGCTATGATCCCCCTGCGTGTGGACACGGTCGTTATTTCGACCCAGCACGCAGAGGAAATCACCACTGATGAGCTTCGCAAGGAAATTTTGAGCAAGATCGTCGCGCAGGTTATTCCTGCCAACCTTCTTGATGACCGCATCGTCTACCACGTATGTGAATTTTTACTATCTAGTGACGCTTGTAATTCACAAGTTGGAGTAGATTCAACCATCTGGCCGCTTCGTCATCGGTGGCCCTCAGGGTGATGCCGGTCTGACTGGCCGCAAAATTATTGTCGACACCTACGGTGGTTGGGGTGCACACGGTGGAGGAGCCTTCTCAGGCAAGGACTTCTCCAAGGTTGACCGCTCTGCGGCCTACACTGCCCGTTGGATCGGTAGGTTCATCGCTCTTTAGTAAATTGTACGGTATTTGAAATCTCGCACAGCCAAGTCTCTCGTTGCTGCTGGCCTCGCTCGCCGCTGCCTTGTTCAGCTCTCATACGCTATTGGTGTTGCCGAACCATTGTCTATCTACGTTGACACCTACGGCACTGGCAAGAAAACAAACGAGGAACTCGTGGACGTCATTCGCAAGAACTGGGATCTCCGTCCTGGTGTCATGGGTAAGTTTCCTCAGTTTGAAGAAGGTCAGATTATTAATGCATTCTAGTGCGCGAGCTTAACCTCCAGAGGCCCCATTACTTGAGGACCGCATCTTACGGCCACTTCGGTATGTTCTTCACGCTATCAACTGTAGTGCAGAAACTGATTCCTATACAGGTAACCCCGCATACACCTGGGAGAAACCCAAACAGCTTAAGCTGTAAACACTCTTTTTGTCTTACTGGGTCCTGTGGAATTTTGCTCCATCTAGCATAGGAAGTTCATCCTTCCCTAATTTATCAATCATCATCGCACGCACCTTTCTGTAGACTATTGCACACCATCGCTTTCTACTCCGCAGCCGATACGCTGCCTATTATCACGACCATTACCCGCGACTTTGCGAAGATCCCAACGACGTTACATGTTGTTGATGCACTACCTATATCCACTATATCACCTCGTAGTACCGAAGAATACAATCGCGTTCAACCGCGTATTTTTCTGTGATTTTAGGAGTGAAGTTACTGTGCAAGTTCTCTTAAGCGGGGTTGAGTCAAACTGCCCACACCTACGTGCTTGAATAAAGTTTGGATAAAGTGAAAATTGTGACCCACGTGCGTGATTCGTAAGGACCGAGGTCAGACTCGGATTATCACGGCAAAAAGTGATAAAATTCTCCATGCCAGTTTTTCTTTGGACAGTTTTCGGTCCGTAACCACAGATAGTACTGACCTACACGTTTATCGCGTGAACGGGCATCGCCCCAACTGAATTTCACGTTTTCTTTCATTTCACCCCTGCATCGCGAGTGAGTTCACTTCTTGATCGTTCAAGTGCCAGATCCTCTGACAGATCTCCAATTTAGTGTGCGGCATTTTAGGGCTGCTGCTTCATGATCCATCGTTGGATGCAGCACCAGACATATGTGAAGGTCTCTCTTTGCTGCAGCATAGGGGGCAAGATGCGTGTGGCATCGTGACTTGTGGCACAAAGGGCCGATTCTTTCAATGCAAAGCCAACGGTATGGTTCGCGATGTCTTTGATGAGAAGGCCATTTCCAAATTGATCGGAGGGATGGGTGTTGGCCATGGTAAGCCATTGGAAGCAAACTGGTCCTGCCAACGAATATCTGATAATGGCGCATTGCAGTTCGTTATCCAACTGCTGGAAGTTCAAACCACGCTGAAGCTCAACCGTTCTACGTCAACTCACCCTATGGTATCGTATTTGCGCATGTGAGTTTGTTTTTGAGACTGGTTACTCCAGACTGAAGGTGATTAGAATGGGAACCTCATAGATGGTCCTTCACTCCTACAATATATGGATGCCACCGCACATAGACATATAAACACTTCGTCCGATTCCGAACTCTTACTCAACCTTTTTGCCAACAATCTCCAGCAGACTGGAAAATTTCGCATAAACGAAGACGACATCTTCAATGCCATTGGAGGCCTTATGAAGCAGTGCACAGGAGCATATGCATGTGTTGCAATGCTTGCTGGCTTTGGGATCATTGCATTCAGAGATCCGAATGGCATACGACCCGTTGGGGTGGCTTCCAGACGTAGCAACTCTGGGAAAGACTACCTTTTTGCAAGCGAGAGTATTGTTGCTGATGCCCTGGGCTTTAGCGAATGGGAGGATGTGAAGCCTGGTCGGTCCTTATTTTTACCATTACCCGCAGTTACTAACATTGGTTGCTGATAGGCGAAGCAGTGATCATCACTCGGTCAGGAGTTTCACGGAAACGTGTAGCAGAGCATGCGACCTTCGCACCCGATATTTTCGAATTTGTCTACTTCGCTCGCCCCGATTCAGTGCTTGACGGCATTAGTGTCTACCGCAGTCGAATGGCCATGGGCGATGCGCTTGCGGTCGAAGTTGACAAGGTTCTGAAGGAACGAGGCATCACAGTGGATGTCGTCATCCCCGTCAGTGGTTCCCCTCGTTCCACCAATTTTTTCTAACGTGTTTACAGGTTCCTGACACATCTCGTGTTGCAGCTTTGAATCTTGCGCAGAAGCTCAATTTGCCCTACCGAGAGGGCTTTATCAAGAATCGCTATGTTGGTAGGACATTCATTATGCCAGGTCAGCAAATGAGGTCAGATATATTTGTTTCCATGACTTCACCTCATTAATGGTGTTTGTCAAAGACGAAAAAATGTAAGACGGAAACTGAACGCCATGGCTTTGGAGTTTTCTGGGAAGAGTGTTCTCCTTGTTGATGGTAAATTGTGGAACGACTGGTTGATCTTCATGCCTTACCTTGACAAACGGTTTCAGATTCTATCGTTCGTGGCACCACCTCAAAAGAGATTATTCAGATGGCGAAGGACGTTGGCGCAAAAAAGGTCATCGTCGCGAGTTGTGCTCCACCCATAAGGTCATTCCTTCTACTAACCACCGTCACTTTGCTGACGAACATTTGTTAGGTATTCTAATGTCTATGGTATTGATATGCCTTCAAGGACCGAACTTGTTGCGTACGGGCGCACCACTGAAGAGATAGCTGAGGCCATCGGTGCAGACCTTGTCGTATTCCAGACTCTTCCTGATCTCGTCGCATCCGTGCGACAATTCAACCCATCCATTCCAACTTTCGATTGCTCCGTATTCACAGGGGATTATGTCACTGGTGGTGTCACTGAAGATTATTTGCATCAACTGGAATTGCTACGTGCAGACAATGTCAAAAACAAGTCGACCGCAAACTCACGGGAAGGCAAAGGTGAGGGCAGTGTGGTCAATGGATTCCACGATCGGGAGACTATGATAGCATCTGGCGGTCCAATCAATCGTGCGGATGATACAGTTGGTTTGCACAACACCTGGAACGTCAGCTGACATTCAGTTACTTTCTTGCGCGCATAGACACCAAGTAGAGCCCCTATCGTTATCCCCTGTTCTATAATTTCGTCGCTAAGAAGCGCTAAAGTATCGCTATGTAGAGTGTCAGAGTTAGAGGGAATGTATATAATCGATGCTAATCAGATATAAATGGTGCGAATGGCGATGACGGAGACAAGTACACGATGATAGAGTATTATGCTACAAGCTTGCTAAAGTAGATGCGAAGGAAAACAATTTTACAGAACGTTCACGCCGTGGATCAGGATTCAGGGCATGATGGAAGGAGACGAGAATAATGATGGTTTCAGACGCAGAAGGCTACTCAAAGCCCAGCACCAAGTAAATCATATCATACCTTGAAGTCAAGCAATAACCTAAATCTCAGTTGATATTCAATATTTTTCACACATACAATCTGTAGAAAGGACTGCGATCTTGTCAGCACGACGATAGAGAGAACTCACCACGCTAGCAACATGTGACCGACGTGAGTAACGACGAGACTGGCCCTCGGCCTGGATTGACATCTGAGACGGTTGAAGCAGAGAAAAAGGAAGTCTTCCAGACAGATGATCAAATACTTGTTCACAGTATGTCTTCTCGTCTCAACTTGAGACCTCTGGGACCTCACGTATTTGATGAGGACAGCGGCCACAATTGAATTCGCAGAGGGAGTGTATAGAGTACAAGGAGCATGCCCGTTATTTCGAGTTCTTTCAATGAAATGGCGGAACTCTTGGTCATTAAAAGGGAGTGATCAATAAAAGCAAGGTAGCCACGCCTGGACGTGGTCGTGCTAGTTGTCGCACGAAACTGCGAGCATATGGAGGCCACAGTACTAGGGTAATATTCAGCTCATGTACAAGAGGAAGAACTGAGATCCATGACCATGAGGTGGTACGGTGGACAGGCTAGAGAAAGAACCTGTTTCATTCATCCTCGTCTGACGGCTGGTCTTCGACATCCAACGCTTTCTCTTGCGCATTCATTGCTCCTAGAATGTCGTCCGACTGCCCCTTTTGAGAAGCAAGTCTCTGCCCTATTGATACAGTGTGAGCAATTGAAAATAAAGGCAGAGAGAAATATCAAGCTGACGGATAAGAGTATGGACTGCTTCTTGAGTCTTCCGCTCTAGCTTCGCAAGTTTCTTGTCCATTTCGCGCTTCAAGTCCCAGTTTGGCCGTTTCGGGGCGATGTTGAATACGTCCTGTAGAACATGAGCTGCAAACGCAGGAGTTCACTGTAACATGAATCGACATACAAGTTCTTGGGCACGCTGTCGTTCATCCTCAGCAATGATTCTTTCAGCTACACCTTCAACATCTTTTTCGATGGTATCTGTGGTCAGAACTTCGTTTTTTGAGTGTTTCTTCAACGTCCTTGTTTCAGGGTCATAATTCCTGCTGAGAAGCACAGAATCTCTGTGGTTGGTTAAGATTTTGCAGTATTGAGATTTTGTTATCACGTACCCATTTGATACAATTGATATACCCTCCTTGCGGTTTCTTAGGGCGATCAAACGCGCTTTTCGAGCATCTGAGGCCTCCTGCAGGGACATGGTTGGGGAGAGGTCTTAAATATGCTTAGTCAGCATGACCAGAACCGACCTTTGCGAAATTCGCGCTTTCGCAACTCGGGAAATGCTCCCTGGCTGGCGGCATGCATGTCTCAAGGTGTTATTGTGCCGTCAACCTGTTCGTTGGTCGAATTCAAGACTCCTGAGCTCTACTGCAGTATGTCTGGCTGCTAGGCCCAAGTCCCTGAGGATGGAAGAGTTTCCTTGCGAAGTCATTAGGTACGATGATGGTGCAGCAGTACGCGTTCAGGGCTAAAGCTTATACGTGTTAAACCTTGCTAGAAACTTTTCTATTATCGCGCACATTGGTATTTTCAATACTTGGTGGTCTCCACGTCTCTTCTGAAATTTGCTCCCAGACCATGGTAAATCAACCTTGGCAGATAGGTGCGCTTCTACACAATGTAGTTAAGTTTATGTACTAACGAAATATAACACTGTAGATTGCTAGAGGTCTGTCACTTCGTGCATAAGAATTGGTTTTCTTGACTCAAATCACTCAGCTCACTGGCACTATTGAAACGAAATCGACGGGACTCAACCAGCAGGTCCTAGACAAGCTAAAGGTAGAACGTGAGCGGGGTATTACTGGTGGGTCATCTACAGTCATGGATCTACTTCTGTTGAAGATGATTAACTTCGTGAAGTCAAGGCACAGACAGCAAGGTCTGTGACACAATCTGTTTTCAAAATGATTTATTGACGAAGCTCAGTATGATATACATGGCTCATGGGAAGCAACACTTGCTCAATCTCATTGACACCCCTGTAATGAATTTTCACACTTGGTATTGACAAGGAACTTAGCACTGTTTATTTCACAGGGCCATGTTGACTTTGCTTGGGAGGTTTCACGATCCTTGGCTGCGTGTCAAGGTGCCCTGCTACTGGTAGACGCCTCACAGGGTGTTCAGGCGCAGTCGATCTCTGTCTTTCACATTGCAAAGGAGCGAGGACTGAAGATCATCCCAGTCTTGACCAAGGTTAGATCTCGCTTGATTACTGAATATGATGCCAACTAATCGATTTCATAGATTGACTTGCCCGCATCACAGCCGGAACGGATGGCCGCTCAGCTCCAGTCAACTTTTGGCATTGACCCGAGTGAAACTCTTCATATTTCTGCGAAAACTGGCCAGGGAGTAGAAGCAATTCTAGAAGCTATCGTGGACCGCATACCACCTCCTTCAGGAAATATAAACTTCCCTCTCAAGGCCTTTATGTTTGACTCACTGTCTGTATATGTTTATCTGTACTTCCTCTTCTGTGGTTCAAGTAGTGCCTTAGATATGACCGTTACAGGGGTGTCATTTCTCTTGTCAGCATACAGGATGGCATCATCCAGAAAGGTTGGTTTATATGCTCTTTTCGCGTCACCCCCATCACTTAGTTGCATGTAGGGGACAGGATTGCGTCTTGTCATACCCGAAAGAAATATGAGATCACTGAAGTTGGCGTGATGCACCCTGAAGAAGTACCAACATCGAGTCTACAGCCTGGACAAGTTGGCTACATAGCGTGCAATATGAAAGAATCTTCTGAGGGTACGATAACCGCCACCGTTTCCTGTTAATCGTGTCCTGATTATTGCTCTTAGCTCATATTGGAGACACACTTCATCGCGTCGGTGCGGCTGTTGATCCTATGCCTGGATTCCAGCCGTCTAAGGCTATGGTTTGTTTCCAATATTGAATCTTCACGATCGGTACCTTATTTGATTTAGGTTTATGCCGGCGTATTCCCAGTGGATACCAATGACTTCATTAAGCTCGAGGAATCTATCAAGAGGGCACGTTTCCATATTCGAATTTCTGTTCTGCTCTTACACTTTCGTAGCTTACCCTGACGGACAGAAGCGTGACTATCCAACGCGAGTCCTCTACCGCGTTGGGGCAAGGGTGTCGCCTTGGCTTCCTTGGGACACTGCACATGGATGTTTTCCGACAGCGCCTAGAAGATGAATACGATGCAAACATAATAATAACTGCTCCAACCGTCCCATATAAAGGTATGTGACAGCGCTAGCTTCGTATTCGATTAACCGCTGAAGACCAGAAAGTCATATACAAGGACAAAACGGTTATGATTAGCAATCCTACGGAGTTCCCAGACACATCGGACACAGCTAGCAAAGTGAAGCAAGTGCAAGAACCTGTTGTAAACGCTTCTATCATCGTGCCTGAAGGTCTGTACTTGAAAGTTGGCGATAGCGATCTTGCTGATGTTTTGAATATTAGAATATATGGGGGAAATGATGAATCTTTGCTTTGCGCACCGTGCTGAGAACCTTGACCACCGATATCTGGATTCAGGAAGCACCTCAGAAGCATCTGCGCGAGCCATCTTGACGTGCACATTGCCCCTCAGTGAAATTGTCACAGATTTCTTTGATCAACTGAAAAGCCGAAGCTCAGGCTATGCCAGTTTTGAGTGAGCACTGGCAATATATATAAGGACGAATGCTGAAACATCTGTAGCTATGAAGATGGCGGATATAAAGCCAGCGATCTCGCGAAGGTGCGTGGTGAAAGTATCTGCATTACACGTTTGCCTGACATTATGTAGATGGTCTTCCTTCTGAATGGGAAACCAGTGGACGCACTCGCTCTTATAGTCCATCGGTCGGCTCAACACGAAGTTGGCAAAAAGTGGGTTAAGAAGCTTCGTGCGTGATGACGTTTTACCTTGCAACGTGTTGATGCTGAAAATTATCACAGATAAAGTGATCCCTCGCCAGCTATTTGAAGTTCCGATACAGGCTGCGGTCGGCAAGAAAATCATTGCTCGCGAGACTTTGTCAGCAATGCGTGCAGACGTCACCGCTGGGCTCTATGGAGGTATGTGCATAAACCGATCTCCGACATTCCCTGCCGCTCATTGAATTCCTTAAATAGGCCACTACGAGCGCAAAATGAAACATCTAGAAAATCAAAAGGAGAGCAAGCGAAAGATGAAGCGCATTGGATCTGTTGACCTCCCCCAAGACGCTTTTTTCGATATATTGAGCACCAAGAGCAAGTGAACGGCGAGCAGTATGCTCAAGTGGTGATGCAAATACACTGTCTGTAGCGTGCTTTTTCTACATGCATCTGCTACAGTTCGTAATCCTCATCGTCATATGCTTCCTTGATAAGACGATATACCGATGATGGAGGGTGATCTCCACTATAGCGCGTTGAGTAGATAATAAAACTCACATATAATAATTACTCACTCGTTTGTAATGAATGCGTCAATCAACTCTGGTCGAACATAGTCATAGAAGGGGTTGACCACGTCAACCTTATCGACGAGATTGCCTTCTTCAAATCCTAGCACACTACTTGGATCTGCAAAGTCGAGTGCGCCATATTCGTGATACAAATTCCATTGCGGGGTGAGCTTAAACTGTCCAGCACAAACAACAACCGGGGTGCTATGCGCTCTAGCTGCCGTGGCAGCAAGTAGAGATCCTGTTATCGCAAACATGCCGCCGTTGGCTAGTATCGCATGTGCACCAAGCATGACTTTGTTGATGCGAGACATGAGTGCGTAGATGGATGAGTCGGGAACAAGAACCGTTGAAATGCCAGCGGATGACAGAGATTGAGCCATATCATGTCCGCTATATCTGATGTACGATTGAGAACTAGAGGTCATGGAAAGAAATACCAGGTACGAACGATGGTGCGGTATCCGCAACGATGACAGTATATTTCCGATAGGGTGCTGCAGCTTTAAGGAATGCCTCAACGGTACTCGACTTGCCGATGGTCAGGATTATCTCGCTATCTGAACTCAGCAACAGATCAAACGACCTTGGGACACAGAAAACTCACTCGGAATGTATATGATCCTTTGCATTTTTCGAGACGTTATCATGCACTGTTTCCAGCTCATCCAGGACGTCCTGGATGGCTTCCATAAGAACGGGTTTAAGCGTTCGAGCAAATGCATCAGGATCATCCGCATCGTTCTCCTTCAACATGGCGTGCGAGTCGTTCAAATTCGTCTTTTGGACAACATTCTGTGTCCGTGGTTGACCCTGCAACACGAATTTTGCGATCGACAAGGCATCTTTCGATTTCGACACAACCGCGGTCCCTTTCGAAGCAGTGTGGTATTCCTCCCGGATATGATGTAGCACTTTCCGCACGGTGTTCCCGACCGTATATTCTGACGATGAAACAAAGGATGAGATGCCAAACCGTGTGGAGCAGAAATGGAGGAGAACCTTTAGGTTGTGCTTCCACGAGCTTCCGTCCAACGGATCGGATAATTTCGACAAGTTGGTCGATATTGGAGAATCGTGCTTTTGAGATGACCTGCCTCAGGACAAGGACGGTCTCGAGAGCAGTTTCGCGGGAACCTACAACTTGCCTGTCATGATATATGATGTAGGGGTATGATTGGGGGTTTCAACTCACCGTCTCCGCAATCTAGCCGCAAGGGTGTCAACAACTCGCTGGTTTGCAACACTTGATGTATCAGTAGCCATAGCTTCTAGTTCCGTTCTTTGTGGTCGAACGGTGCAGGTATTTGGGATTGGGATGCGCTGGTAGAAAAGGCTTGGAGTCACAACATATTGCAGATTCAGAGTCGAGTCATACTACTTGCCGTAAGTAGCAATTAGTTACATACACTGAGTACTACATCGTTTGTACACCGTCTGTAATTCTACCGCGACCTCAGGCTGGAAGAAGCCACATAACTGTCCTATTGTTCTTCATTCATATACGCGCACAGTCCATCATTGCGAGAGCCTATCAACAAGCCTAATGTCTTAAATGTGCCAGTCAAGCTTGTCAGCCCATTTTCCAGGGAGCAATTGCGATATCTGTTCTACATCCTTGTCGCCTCTCCCCGAGAGACACTGTATGGTGCTCTATGAGCATCGCGCAAATGGAGAACATTTTGGATACGTACAATGACAAGATCGGTATCTTTTGGTAGTGTTTTGGCAAGACGGACGCCTTCCCAAATAGCATGCGATGACTCAAGAGCAGGAATGATACCCTCTAACTGGGTGCAAAGTCGGAAACCTCTGAGGGCCTGCTCGTCAGTTGCGACAGCATACTCTGCTCTACCAGAGTCCTTGAGCCAGGAATGCTCTGGGCCAACACCAGGGTAATCAAGACCGGCGCTGATCGAGTGTGTCTCGATTATCTGGCCAGCCTTCGACTGCAGGATATATGTTCTCACACCGTGCAATACACCTGGTTGGCCTTTCGAAAGGGTTGCACTGTGCCGATCGCCATCCAAACCTTCACCACCAGCTTCCACTCCCACGAGCCTCACGTTCTTGTCGGGAATGAAGTCATAGAACGTTCCAATGGCATTGCTCCCACCACCGACGCATGCGACAACGACGTCCGGGAGTTTCCCCTTGGCCTCTTTCATCTGTAATTTTATTTCTTGCCCAATCACCTTTTGGAAGTCGCGCACAATCGTTGGGAATGGGTGTGGACCGATGCAGGAGCCGACAAGATAGTGTGTTGTGGACAGGTTTGTCACCCAGTCGCGCATGGCTTCATTGACGGCATCCTTCAAAGTACGAGAACCTGACTCGACGGGTATAACCTAGATGGAGGTCAATATACGCAGGACAGCAAAGGACAAAACAACAAACTTTGGCACCAAGCATATTCATTCGGAAGACATTCAAGGCTTGGCGACGAGCATCCTCTGCACCCATGTAGATGACACACTCCATGTTGAATCGTGCACACACAGTAGCAGTTGCGACACCGTGTTGACCAGCACCGGTCTCGGCGATGATACGTGTCTTGCCTATACGGCGAGCAAGCAAGATCTGACGAAATGTCAATACACAGGCAAGAAAGGAATATGTAATCCTACCTGCCCGATGGCGTTGTTAATTTTGTGCGAACCTGTATGATTCCTATAGTCTGTTAGTATGTCATAAATACTTTCCAGCAGGTGACTTACAGGTCCTCACGCTTCAGCCAAATCTGGGCGCCGCCAGCATGCTTCGTCAAACTTTCTGCAAAGTAAAACTTTGATGGGCGATTCATGTATCCATAATAGCTTTGAAACTCCTCCCAGAACTTGGGGTCATTCACAGCTGAGTTGTGAGCTTCCTCGAGTTCCACTAAGCAATCGAAGAGTGCTTCTGGGACGTACTGTCCACCGAACTGACCAAAACGCGGGGGAAGTAGGGCAACTGTGGGTGGCTCCAAAGCACCATTGGAAGGCTGTCGAAGTATTTGAAGTCGGCAGCAACCGCATGCGAGTGGGTTTCTCCTTCAAGCTAATTTCAAGGCAATAGCTCTCAACGTTTTGAGGTATCGAGTCGAGAGGTGCCTCCTTGATAATTGTCACGAGACGGCTACCAACAACAACGCCATCTGCTCCAGCATCAGCGACAACGTCAAAATGAGCGCGCGTTGCGACACCGAAGCCGACCGCCAGTGGGACAGCCGTGTATTCTCGGATGCGAGCAATGATATCCGGAAGGGCATCATTCATCTTCCCTAGGATAGAAGAGCCAGTTGTTCCCATCTTCACGATGGTCAGATACACATAAATTATGATGAAATGGGTTTGCATACCTTCGACACTACATATATGAAAGAGTCAGCGATGGACGAGAGAAATTGGATGCGATGCAAAGATGTTGATGGTGCGATGAGAGGAACATACGACAAGCTGAGGGACGGAACGGGTCAGTATACACCAATACGATCTTGATCAACTTACTCTGCTTTTGTGCACTTGTCACGGAAGTTGATGGCTTCCTCAGGTGGAAGATCGACCATGATAAATCCGTTTGCACCAGCTTCACGAGCGTCTTGGATTGCTTTGTCCTTCCCCATACGCAAGTATCGGATTATAATACCCTGGTAGAGATGACAGTGAGTTTACAATGTATGTGCAGAGACAGATACAACATACCCATAAGAATGACCGGGGCCGTCAGTCCTCTGCTTCGAGCTTCCCGCAACATTCCAAGTACAGTGGCGTATTCAATATCATTTTTAAGCGCAACCTATCTCGCGTCAGTATTTAAGTGATCACATCGAAAGCCAGACATACACTATTGGTCTCTTGGATAGCTGGGCCATCTGCAATGGGGTCGGAGAAGGGTACACCAAGTTCGATGATGTCTGTCCCTCCAGCTTGCATGGCCAGCAAGATAGGCACAGTGTCTTGTGTTCTTGGATATCCGGCAGTGACGAAAGTCAGCAATGCTGGATTTCCCTAACCAAGTCTTCAATTCAAGCACAAATGTCAGATAAATTCAGCCCACCTCCGCTTTTTTTGCTTCGAATACGGCTTTGAGGGCGTCCATGATCTGTGGTGAATGGAGCTGAAACGAGTCACTGCTGTCCTTTTATCATGATCTAGGCATGCCGTGATCGAGATCACCGTAACCGATCACATGACTGCGCAGATTTATGTGGCTAAGGCTTGTACTAAACGTTTGAGAGCACCGACCCTAGTTTCGCTCTTACCCGTGGGTACATCGCTGCAACGACTCGGGGACATCAGCTCGCTCCTCCGAGTGAAGGCAGGATTCTGTTTCAAGATCTCCGCTCTTACGTTGATTCTTGAGTCAGCGGTGCTCTAATGTGACCAATACAAAACTCATTCGCATGAAACACCAACAATTCTTGAAACACTTGGGGTGCACTGTAAATCCATGCGCATATAATGTTTCAAGGGGGTGTTAGTAAAACATATGTAACCCTAGATTAGGACGTGAACTTTATTTCTGACGTCAGACGGTCTACCACTCCTACACAACATGCACTTTGACCTTAATTTCCCGGTCACTGCATCATGGATCCACTTCTCAACCAAAGAAGAATAAAAACAAACAACCCCAGCAGTCCTCGTCATCACCTTTCACTCCTGCACAGATAAAGGGAATCGAAGCTCGTCTGGACCTTCTTGAACACTGTCTGTTTATTTCGTGCCACGTAAAGCAAATACTGATCGCATCACAGTAGGATACACTGTCTTTGCGTTTAATCAATCGGTGAACAAAAAAATAGACCCAAAAACCCATGTCAACATTCTGGATGGACTCCTTAAACAGCTGAGGGCGAGGCCAGGGACGGTGTTCTTGAAGCGACTTACAATTGTTCTCGACAATGATAGCGAGAAAGGCTTTGGTTTGGTGAGCACCTCCTTTTTGTGGTCACGAGTAGCGTAATCTTTTTGAACGCAAGACGAACGCAAACGCCTCCCTCGTCGAGCCCTACGATCTAATTGCTCTCCTGCCGACGACTTCCGCGACATTTTCACTTGCTTGCCTCACGCACAGTCTTCCTTCACCACTCACTGCACACATCGTTGCTCTTCCTTTAACGCTCCCCCGACTTCCGTTTCAGTTGAAGCACACATTGGTTAGAACTGCGATCAAGAACGGCGCGGTATTCGAAATCAACTACGCAGGAGCCATTGGTGGTGAAAGTGACGCCAGTCTATCGGCCTTTGGTGTAAGTGATACTGGTGTAAGTGGCAAACGGAATTGGTGGGCCGCTGCACGAGAAGTTGTGCGGGTGACAAAGGGCAAAGGCATTGTTGCGAGTGGTGGAGTTGCCTCTGAGGCAGACTACAGAGGACCCAAGGATATCGAAAATTTGTGAGTCTATCAATTTTAGTTGTTAGTCTTTTTCATATTTTGGTTTACCTTACTTTCAGGCTTACGCTGCTGGACCTGCCACAAAATTTGGCTCACGATGCATCAGTTACTGCGCCCAAATCGCTCATCTTGCGTGCACGTAAGCTAATCCATTAAAAACGTTCGTCAGCAGTCTGATCCTCTCCTTCCTCGTGGAAACATGACAGAGGCACGCAAAACTTATCGAGCGGTCTTATCAGAACCCAGGTTGGTGGTTCCAGAACCTACACAGGTGATGCCTCCCACACAGGGGACCGGAGATAGCGAGAACTTGCGTGACAACGTTAACATCTCCCAAACATCGAGTCGATCATCTCCGAACCCTGCCGTAACGCTGCCTCAATCAGCGGGAAGCAAGAAGCGAACTTGTGACGAAGTTGGTCTCGGATCTACGATGAACGAACATGTGAACAAAAAAACCAAAGGAGCTGCTAATGCCGAGGGCGAGTCCCGAAGAAAAAAGAAGAAAGGGGGAAATAGAGGGAGGGTTGGTGCAGTCTAGCAATTGCCACATGATTGGTTCGTATTAGCCCTACAAGACATGCCTTGGCCCTTTATCATATGTGTAGTCCGCAACCGCTCATCGGTTCGTCCCTTCGATAGCAAGTGAAATGGTACACGGTGGCTACATAGATGGTCCAGGCTTCTTCCACACCATCATCGATCCCACGATCCAAAGAACAAGCCAATGAGGGAACCATTGGAATAATCCGAAGAGACGGGACTTGCCCCCCAGTGTCATGTAAGTTGGAGGGCTGGGACTTAGTACTTTTGCAACCACACGGCGTGCAAATTCATCGGTATCCATGCTTCCTTTGTCTTGACTGCCATTCAGGCGTTCGTACACCCGATCAAAGTAAGGCTTGTAGATGGACGTGGGGGATAATTCCAAGGTGGCTGCTTGGTTAGCAGTGATATTTGTCCTAACTTGACCTGGTGCTACCAACATCACTTTAACACCGAAAGGTTTGCATTCCATGGCCAGAACATCACTAAGAGCGTGGGCTGCTGCCTTGGTTGCAGAGTATAATCCATTCCATGGAGTCGCGCTATTCAGAGTCAGACAAGGTTAGCTGAAAGATCGGATTATTGCACCATGCTCACATGTTTCCTGCAAGCGATCCAATGTTGACGATCAGCCCTTGCTTGCGTTCTATCATGGAAGGTGCAACTGCCTGTACAACCCGCAAGACTGAATACGTGTTGGTCTCAAAGGCTTTTCTAGCCTGATCCAAGGACACATCAAGCAACGGTCCTGCGAGAAATCGAAACATCACGATCAGTTCATGGCTCGAGTCAACTCGACAAACCGATTGCGATAGCACCAGCATTGTTCACGACGATATCGATCTTCCCTTGTTCTTCCAGAATAGACTGTACGACGAGTTTTACATCGTCATCGCTGGTTACGTCCATCACGCGCTTTTCCACCGGATTCTCGAAGCCGTCCATCGTCTCCAGTCTGCGTGATGTGGCATACACGATACATCCCTGCTCATAGAAGTGCTCGCATCTGTTATCATGAATTTAGGTGCTCGAGATTTGTGGAGACGGAGCACGTACAAATAGAAGCCGATCCCGCCTTTTGAACAGCCGGTCACTAGAACAACTTTTCCAGGCATGTTTCTCAGACGAGGAAGTATCCTTAGCCAGATCCAATTTAAAAAAATGCAAGTCGCTTCTTCGTATCAGACGACTCCAGTCACTCACCCAACATCCGTATATATAATTCGGTAAATCGAAATTCCGTGAATTTGATACGGACATGTAACACCGAGGGGGTCGAAAGGGGATGTAGCTGGATGATTGCCACGTAAATCGTTCTCGGGTGTTATGCTACAGAACGTACCCTCATAATCACATGAGTGACCTGCCCCCCATTATGTCGCCTTTCTACGGGCAAGCAAGATGGTATGCGTGGCTACCCATATAGCTCAGTCTTCTTCTACACCATTCACGATCACAACATCCAGAGGACGGGTCAACGAGGCAGGCATCAGAAGAATTTGAAAGACCCGATTTGCTCGCATTACAACTTGGGGGGTCGGCACTCAGCACTTTTGCAACTACACAGTGTGCAAATTCGTCGCTAGGTATGTTCCTTTTGGCTCGACTGCCACGCATACGATCATACATCCGAGGCTCGTAGATGGACGTAGAGAATAATTCCAAGGTGGCTGGTTATCAGTGATATTTGACCGAACTTGGCTTGATGCCAACAAGATCACCTTCACGCTGAAGGACTTACATTTCATGGCCAGAACATCAGCGAAGGCACGAACTCCCACCTAGGCTGTGCAGTATAATCCATTCCAAGAAGTGAGGTATTCAAGTTGTGGTTATAAATCAGTTCCGTCGCACCCCGTCAAATTCAACGATCTCATCCACGAAACGTTCCCAGCGTTCCTCCCATTTCAGCGTCGCACGCGCCTTTTCATCGGCTGTGAGCATCGAGTACTGCGCCCGAACACACCCAGTCATTACCTGAAGCGGAACAGAGATAGAGAAATGTGTACCTGGATGCTGTCTCGTGCGATATGCCCCAGCGTGAGCAGCCCAGTGACTTCGCTTGCCGCAAGTACCTGTAGTTGCGTGTGTTTAAGTGACGATGAAAGAGGGGCATAAAAATGGAGTGAACCTGGAAAAAGTCAAAGCTCAAACCCATGTTTTGGAACAGCGATGGGTCATCTGAGCTCAGTGCCACCGGTACACCATGGTTAATCAAGATTGGGAGAGGATGCATCGGCATCGATGCCGCCAATCTCTACTTGCCCTCACTCAATCAGTGCCTGGTTATAATGAGATGGAAGGAAGATCAACGCACCAAAATCTCATTTGAAATGGGGCAGACCTCCAGCGCTACACCGCGTTCCCTGCACATCGACATAAGCTTTGGGTGTTTCACAAGCGAGAACCCGTGTCCGATTCGCTTCGTCCCTAACAGCAGTGCGTCGTACAGATTTTCATCTGCGATGGACCCGTCACCAGTGGTTTCACCTGCATGGAATATGAACGGGATATGATGGTGTTCTGGGAGTCCCTGAGAGGTTTGCAGGGTGCTGAAAGAGAGAAGCTGCGGGAGGTAGTCTTTGAGTGGACGAAGAACATTTTCGTCCCCGACAAGGTCAAAACCTTGAGCAGTTTGTGTTATGAAATGGAAGAAATTTTGAAAACATATAAAAAATACCGGTAATGATATCAGGGAAAAGCTTCTTCATCTCTATACAGTCGTTGAGATACCACTCCAACTCCTCAGGCTCGCAATTCCGGATCACCGTGTATATGATCTATTGTTTTATAGGCTTGAGACCCTAGTCATAGGATAACAAGTACCTTGGCGCCCATAAATTCGTCATCTCTTCCATGTTCTCGTAGACTCCCGTTGAATTCAACTAGGACGTCCTGAAACATGCTCAGCCACTCTTTGTGTGGAACACTTTGCTCCCCATCGGAACCGATCATGTACCTACCAATATCCCAATCCAAAACGAAAAGCACAATAAAGAAAGTCTTACTTTGGGCTGAAATTGATCCGCGCTTCTACATAAGATACGCCATCTGCAATGGTTTCCTCGAGGAACTGCCGGATATATGCGCGCCAAATTGGGGCAAAGTACACCAAGTTCTGTGCACCTCAATGAGTATGGTGTTCACCAATCTCTAAATATGTGTACTTACACTTGTGAGAACAGCAGCTGCACGAAATCTGTCCCATATCTTTGCGAAGATTATGAATGTATTCTTTTGCCCGACAAAATACAAAGTGGCACACCCTAATGCTATTATTATGCGTGACGTATGCATCGTTTGGGTTGATTGTGAGGCGGCATTCAACCCAGCGGTCAAATCCCTGTGTGCCACCAAGGGCAGCATCGAACTGTTCACGCGCACGGCGAAGGGGTACCCATTGTCCCGGTTTGTAGGTGGGTAGACACAGCGAGATGCACTGTGGAACGAAGCTGTGTGGAAGAGGACAAAATTCAATTTCAACAGATTTGATGGAATCAGGCGTGACTCGTGCTGATGCACGGATATGGATTGAGGTGTGCTGTAAGGCGAGCGCCAGCAGGGTATTTCCGTTGACAGTGAGATCAAGGTGTACGTGCAACAGTGCGCCTTTTGGCATCTTTGTGATTGTACGCATCACAGAAAATCATGCAACTAGCTGTGATTGAGTCTTCCCAAGTACCTAGAGATGGACAAACCTTGGTGATGATATTGAAGAGTTGGGTCTTGAGGATGATGTCCTTTCCTACGTAATAAGATATCAGCTAGCACTCTATGTGTTGAGAGCTTTACTGTACCTGTTAGAAACTCCATTCCAGGAAACGGATGAGGAACCTCATCATGCTCTATTCCCCAAATCGACTTGGCCTCCTCCTCGCGAATGCGGCGCAAGATCAAGTCTGCTTGTCGCGATTTTTCAGAGAAACGTTCTCCATTGACCGCATCGATGCGAAGGGCTCGATCATCTGCAATGAGCTGGGTTCGTTTGCGGTAGTACTCGTCGAGGAGAGTCATCACACAAGCTGGTAACCAATCGATCAGTGCAATGTCAGTCATTTAAGTCATGTGAGCGATAATGGATCACGTGAGTTGACAATGCACAAATGCAACTTGATCAGGTTCCTGGACGACGTCGTAGGTAGTCTACAGCCACTCAACCAGAGTCTATCTGTTTGCCAAAACAATGTCTTCAGGCGATGAGATGGGTACATTTGACCTCCATATGCTAGGTCAACTTAACTGATGAGCGCGCTTGAACACAGACGCATTGAAAACTACGACGCGTCCAAAATCTCGTAAGAGACAGCGCACCGTGTCCCCACAGCCGTCAACGTCTAAGCAGTCAAATAATCGGAAACTAATAACTGAATCCTCTCACTCCTCCCCTTCTTCTTCAGATGATATCGAGCTCATCGATCCACCACCTAATGTACCTGCGAATACGGTCCGTCCACAGAGAAAGAAGGGGCTGAGCAAGGCATCGGAAAGTCGCCCTAATGGAAAGGTCCCAGATAGCCAGTCAAAGTCTAAGCAAGAAAGTCAGGCAAAAGGGAAAGCGCCGGAGGGTCAAGCAGAGCCAAAGGACACTCGCGTCAAACCAAAACCTTACAAACCAAAACCTGCCAGGAAGCTTCCCTTTCCAGTTCCCGTCGTCGAAGACCCCTCAAATCATAGTGAACCAGAGAACGAGCCTGAGAAACCACCCATGAGCCCACGTATCAATCGCGAGCTCGAACGGTGGAAGACAAAAACAAAAGATGTACGTTTATACCATCCATCGTTCGGATGAGTAACGCTCATCGATTCCACTAGTTAGAGCATCAGCGTGACAGACTTTCGCAGCAACTCGAGGAACTTCTTCAGGTCCGAAAGACAGATGCTGAACAAGCCCTTGATGAACTTACGGCTCTATATGACAGTCGTTCAAAAAGTGAGTGTCACTGACTTGAAGGCATTTCAGCTAAATCGAGTCCTGTGCCTCTCCCTGCACTATTATTATCCCTCCAGCACAAGAGTCTATCATATCAGCCCTCCAAACACAACTCGCGTCCCAGTCACCCTTCTTCCGGACATCTGAGACTGAAACTGAGCCCAATCCTCCATCCAGCTCGACACACCCACCTCCCAATTCGAGCACTTCAGCCATTCCTCACTTCCTCACTCGCGCCACAGCTGATGCTGAACAGCGCACACTGCACGATAAGCTCGCACACATGCGGGACGAACTCGCAGCTAAAGACACAGTTGTCGAAGAGCGCGAACGGCGAATTGCCGAGCTTGAGCAGAGTGGTACGTCATTCTTGCTGGATCTGGTAGATTCTTCCCGTAGTGACGCTGAATCGCTTGTACTTGTGCAGTGAAAGATATCCGCGTCGAACTTAATGCCGAGATTGCGCGCTCAAAGCAACTTCTCGTGCGACAACCACACCCCCACACCAAAACCTTCTCCACAGATGTAGATCCAAAACACTTTGCAACCATCAAATTTTACGAGGATTTTTCAAACCTCTTGGTCTTAAACGTCAAATGGGAGCCGCGCGAGGGCGTGGAAGATGACATCGTGCATAAGTGTATATATACATATGTTGCGACGGTGAAGGATGAAGCCGACGTGTGGGAGCATGTCGAGAGGTGTAAGTTTTGTTCGCCCTCTTTTCCTTCCTATATGTGCCTACTAAATCGATCCCCGAAAATCAGCGATATCCTTCTCCCTCCGTGCCTACACCGAGGTGTCAAATTCAGATTCTGAAGACCCGGAAATGGACCGGCGCGTCAAGTATACCCCTCTCGAGCTTGACAAATTAAGCGATGATTTCAGGGAACGCCTTGGCTTCCTAGCGAGCCCGTTCACATTTCCGCACAAACAGGCTGCGCTGTTTTTGGGAAGCCTGACGCGCCAGATGGAGACTGCCTTTGAGGGTGAGAGGACGGGAAGTGCGGCTGACGAACATGAAGAGAGGAGAGAAGAAATTGTTGATGTGGACGATCTTTAGTGATTATACTGAGGGTGAGCCTCGGGTTCACAGATGCATCGAATTCGAGTTATTTGATTTATGTACACCCCATATTACCCCACGGCGATACCCGTTATGTATACAGTACATATATGATACACCGGCGTTGTATTGTCACTACAGTTGGTTTCTCTATTGACATAAATCCCTGTAAATGAAAACTCTCGACTGTGCATTATATTGTGCAAGGCCTTGTAAACAGACAGACGGTAAGTATTGGACGCACAAACAGTATCGCGGAGTTTCAAAAGTTTTGCACATTCAAAACTCACTGTCAGTAGGAAAGTCGACCATAGCTGCAATATGGCGCGTCTTGATCCTGTTTCGAGCGACGACGACGCTCCGGAAGCAGTCTCTCACTCTGTTTCCAAACGAAATGCTAAACGGGAGAAGAAAACCCTTCGTGACTTTGAGGCAGACGAAAACGCGCGGAAGAAGGCACATAACCGGGAAAGAGATCGGAAATTGAAGGAGCGGGCAGTTGTTACGCGTCTGGGGAAGCTTTCTGATAATGCAAGGCGGACGGGAAAGCGGAAAGCTCCAAAGGAATCTAATGTCGAAAGTGACGAGTCCTCCGGTGGGGAAGATGATATTCTTGAGGATAACGCGTTGGAGAAGCGAATGCGTCGTGCAATGGAGGATGCTGCTGATGAAATGGATGACGACGACGATGGGAATGGCGACGGCGAGCTAGAGAATCTGACAGATGGAGGATCAGGTGACAGTGGAGCAGATGAAGATATGGCAGAGTTCGATGCTGAAAGTGGGCTAGAAGAGGATGAGGAGATGACGAGTGGCAGTGAGGACGAAGCAGAAGACGAACACCGGCCTCCGTTGACAAAGTCATCGGCCAAGGGACAATATCTGGAAGATAGTCTTTTCGCGTCTGCATTTGCTTCGCAAAGTGCGCTCGTAACGGCAGATACTACTGCAACAAAGTCACTGCAAAAGGCGCAACCATCGAGAAAACGGCAGCGACGGCCACTCACGCGCGCCAAAGACCTTGTTGTCGGGTGCGCAGCTTGGACATTATGCTGTGAGCTTTCTGACCAGTCCGTCATTACAGAAATCGTACTATCCGTACCCTACCCAATTCACTTGGGTCCAAAGTTCATTCAACAGCTCACACCATCCCATCACAAAAGATACGCAAATTTATCAATCAAAGTCTTGGTATTAAAGGTCGGCTATCGTCTGCTAAAGCAAAATCACGAGGATGGGAGAGACGGCCAGGTGAGTCGTGGTCTAATATTGATTTCACTCATGCAAACCAAGATTTAGCGAATGTCGGTGTAATGAAATGGACTGGAGCACCTTCTGGTTTTGTTCGCGATAAGCAATAAAGATTTATGCCTACCAGTTGCGACATTTAAACCCAAAGACGAACTCCGGATGGCGATGGATTTGGGCACCTGTTACATCCAGGAATCACTCAAAGTCTGATGGGATATCCATCCTGAGATGGAAGACGTTGACTATCACTTAGTCATCGCGACCTGCAGTTACCATACAATCGCAATGACTGTTGTCACCGAGAGATCTCACTCAGTAGTTTCTTCGTGGGGACGTTCCTGGAATACAATGGTTCCAAGTAGCAGCGTAGTTTGTTTGTTTCGACAAATCTGTAGATATTCGGAATTCATTAGACTGATGACCGCTGTCTACCCTCAACTAACAAGTCGTAATGTGGAGGATGGGGCCGCATCGGAGAAGTGAGCGCTGAAAGTTAGATCTCATTGGCTCCTAAAATGGATTATCCCCAAAAAAATTTTGAATTTTGTCCCAGAGCTGTGATAGTGTTTTAAAAAGATGATTCCTGTACTTAACAACAACCGCACTTTGCAATTTATATCGCGCTGGAGCTTGGGACTTCCATTCCGGAGTCCGGAACCGGACTCGTTTCAGCGCACCCTCAAGTTTCTATATATCACTGGCCCCAGTGGTCTGCTATCGAATGCATCATGGCGTATTGACCTGAGCCTTGATCGCCACTGGCCCACTTCCTCGCTATACATGAGTCATTTACATGCAAAGTTCTTTGGGAAATCGGCTATTCGGCACTCAAGTTCAAGGTATTTTGGCCTTAGCTAACTGATACGGCAGCTTGACATGCACTGCCCTATCGCTTAGCGCTTGTGCATAGGTATAACTGCGGGTACTTGAATTCTTCCTTCGATCTGGCGCTACATACAGGTTCCAAGACACGGGGCACAAACTATTGCGGGTACAGGATAACGTTTCAAGAGTTGGAATTCTAGACGGTCCGTGTTATTTTTCCGTGTGTCCTTTATCACCGGATGGCTCACGTTTTTATCATAGACGATCGAATAATAGGTATAGCATGCCTTTTCTTGTATCAAATGTCGTTGATTTTATACAGGCTTGTCCGTCTGCACAGCGGTTTCTAACAGTAGTCTAGGGCGATGCGGAAGTGTGCATGCGACCGTTTGCCATTGGACCCGCACCCGCCACAATCCAGGGAATCGTTTATAACACAATCGGATCCATGGAATTCGCTATCTTTCTCCCCTTCACCAGTGCCACCAGTGCCACCCTTGCCGATGCTTGCCGACTACTTCCAGAGACGTGAAAAACTTATCGCAGAGGATCGCGCATTGCGTATAGACCATGTTCGTGCCAACTATTCAGCGGCCGAGCTCAAGGCAGACAAAGTAGTGCGCTCCATCCGTGCTAAAGAAGCTATGTCTGTCTGGGGAGCTGATCACGAGAACATCCCTCACCCATATCCCGGGATGGAGTTTCTGCATGGTATGAGGCTCGACTCGCACTTGGCACTTCCTCTCACATTTATGTACAGCCAAAGAAATTATTGTAAAGACAGATCTCTACAGTAAAATAGTCTCCAAAGTAAGCATATAGCAAATCACCATACTTCCCATCTCGACCGCGGTTGCCCTGTAGATGCCAAAGGGCGCGCTGTTGCATGTGCACCAGAACGCTTCAGTGGAGGCCAGAATGGTGCTTGACCTGGCACTAGGTCATCCTGCGATACATATCTGTGTTCCGGGTCCGCTAGACGCGGCTTGCCTCAAAACTGTATTGCCCAAGATCCAGCCGATTCCTGTAGAACAGTATCCTGCCGTCAATGCAGTTGGTATCACAGATCTTTCATATACTGGTGGCTGGGTTCCTATCAAGAGGGCGCGAGAGCTCTTCGATCCTGCACTAGGCGGCCCTGCCGGATTTGATACGTGGGTACTTAGCGCCTTTGTGATCAATCCAAGTGATGCGTTTAAGACGTACAACACGCCGATGAAAGTGAGTTTCCCATGAATATGTGACCTGCTGAACATGTTCTTAAAGTGAGAGACTCGCAGATCTGGCTGAAATTTGGAAGTACATTTGGAGTGACCGATGTGAGTCTATGGCGTGCTGGAAGTCAATATGTGAGCCTGTACTGATGAGCCTTAGCCCATCATCCGATTCGTGCCGATTCAAAAGGAATACTTGCGGATGTGCATCCGCTCATCGATAGACGATGGCATCTCTTATATTGAGATACGGACTAGTTTCTTTAGAAAGTGAGTCGGAAAGACGTACGACTATGCTTGAAATACCTGATATTTTGTCAGATACATACTTGCAGAGGACGCGAAGACCAAACTTGATCTGCGCGAACTACTCTTAATATTTCGAGAGGTCACGGACGAAATGAAAGCGGAAATGAAGGCGAAAGGCCGGGAAGACGATTTCGTCGGGTTGAAGGTCAGCTTGGTCTCGGTGCTACTCAAGCTCAGACTGATATTTTTCTTAGATTATCTATAATACCCTGAGAATTATCTCCCCCGAGGAATTGGAAGCAGAGCTAGATCAGTGCAGCAGATTCAAAGAGGAATTTCCGGATCTTATTGCTGGCAAGTTCCGTGGTTCTGTCTAATATCAGATCTAAGTGTTCTATCTCGCAGGCTTTGATCTCGTGGGCCACGAAGATGGAGCGGAGTGTAAACCACTAATCTATTACGCAGAACCGCTTCTGCGTTTCGCCGAGCAGCATCCGGATATCCCATTCATCTTTCATGCCGGTGAAACACTAGGCGATGGCACTGAAGCGGATATGAATCTGTATGATGCTATCCTGCTTGGAACAAAGCGTATCGGACACGGGTTAGGTGCATTGTATAGCATAAAGCGCTCGCTAACTCATGTCGGATAGCTTCTCACTGGCCAAGCATCCCAAATTGATGCAAATTTGTCGAGAGAAGAAAATAGCAATTGAAGTCTGTCCTATATCGTGAGTGAGCTGTATAACTAGACGCCTCTAGTTTGTCTTAATCTTCCAATAGAAATGAAGTACTAGTAAGATTTTCTGTATACTGCCTCCGAATCTATGTTGCTCAACAATTGGTAGCGTCTTACCTCATCGATGCCTATGCACCCCCTCCCGATAATCATGAACCAAGGCATTCCGGTGGTACTGTCTTCCGATGATCCTGCAATGTTCAATAGCATGGGGTTATCCTTTGATTTCTTCCAGGTAAGCTTTTTTTTTGTTTATCCCTTAGTAGAACAAGACTCATCACTTGCTTAAAGGTGCTAGTAGCAAGTGAAGTTACAGGACTCCTTACTCTCAGCCAAATGGCCCGTGACAGTATTACTGTGAGTCGTGTTTCTGTTCTCATCTCTTGCATTGTGTGACATTGGCTGGGTAGTATTCCTTGCTCGATGAGGGGAGCAAGCGCAAGGCTATGGATGCGTGGGAAAGAAAGTGGACTAAATTCGTTGAAGAGGTTGCAGCGATGGATCCGTGAAGCTTTGGCTCTCGGATTTTACTGTGAGTCATGTCCTTGTGTTTATCCCATGCATTGTATAACGCTACTTGGATAGTTTTCCGTGCTCGATACCAGAGCAGTTGCTCGGTCATGGACGCATGAAAAAGATGGTTGCCAAGTTCACAGAGGAGGTTGCGACATTGCGTCCGTGAACTTTTGGCTCCCGCTCATAGAAACATCGAAATATATAGAACTCTGATTGTTGTGCATAGGGATACGTTAAATTAACAAACTTGCGTGATTGTTGGCCGATGATGGCAACTTAGAGGCCACCTATTCAACCTAGTGATTAGTGCCGCAGGGACTACGACGCTGCCGGTATCATTCTATCAGATTCAACCCATAAGTTGGCAACCGTTTCTTCAGCCATATGTAGCGCCGGTAGTGCAAGAACAGCAGGCACATGTTTTGTGTGACACGATGTTCCGGGTCGAGGTTACGAAGCTGATGATTGTATTATTTACAGTGGCACTGTTTGTCATTTAATGATACTAATCATGGGATGCTTTGCAGGAGTATTGTATTTCAGATGGACTGATGATTTATTACGGAAAGTAGCAAACGTAACACGAGCGGTTCTCTGAAAGGATGTCAAGATGTCGGCTTGTTTGGGACGAGGCCGGAGACAGACGGAGGAACGACCGTGCAAAAAACGCGATGCCACAATAAGACAATGGGGCAGACATAGCGAAAGCTGGATAAGATGGTACCGAGAGGACACGGGCACGTAGAAAGAGGGGAATATGAACTAGGCAAGCCAATGGCAGAAGAAGATATGATTGAGGAATGGATGTAACAGGTGGGTTTTTGGACAGCTCAGACATGGTTCTGGTGTCTAGATGGAGGACGCTATTGACGCCACCTCCCTAGTGATGGGCGGGCGGGCATAGGAATAGGATTGCACAGGTGCCGAGGCGGGCAGCAGAAGGTGGAATGAAGGATATTAATATCCGCAAGTGGCTCCGTTTGAATTTGCCGAGCCTGCCGAGCGGTACCCAGACTCGTGCATAGACTTGCACCAAAGCCGGCCAAAATCCCGTCATTCGAGCCAAGTACTTTAGGAAAACCATCTCGCTCGTAATGTTCCAAAATGCACTTCGGACATCGGCATATGTATGTCTTTCTATCAGACGTACACATATTTGGTGTATTCTGACCTTTTCGTCAGCTCTCGCTTCACAGGAGCACTATTTCCAGCTGTCTGAGGTCACAAACCTTTCGTCGATTGCTATCTCAGGAATCTCGCTCAAAAATACAGGCTGCAGTGACCGAACACCCTGTGGTATTGTTTATGAAGGGCAGCCCAGAGCAGCCTATGTGCGGTTTTTCACGGGGGGTGGTGAAGATCCTCAGTGCTTTCGACATTCCACCTGAAAAGTTCAAGGCATATAATGTCCTCGAGGATTCGGAGCTCAGGACCGGAATTAAAGAATTCTCGTAAGTTATGCTGCATTTGACGCTGTCACCAAGCCTCAGGTACCTCTCTTGCAGGGAATGGCCAACCATTCCACAACTGTATGTGAACGGGGAGTTTGTAGGTGGGAGCGACATTGCTTTAAGCAGTGAGTTGGGTTGCATTGTCGAATATATTTTAAACTCAAATCATTCCAAGTGTTTCAATCGGGAGAGTTAGAAACGCTCCTCGAGCAGCATGGGGTTATTCCGAAGGCGTCGGAATCTCCCTCTTAATGTACCGCATGGATAACACCAAGAATCGGAAAGTTAGCGCCGTACTCACACAGACCCGCACCGTACAATCAAATAACTATCATCACTCTTTCCTTGTCCTCCTCATCTTCGACTTCGTTTCGCTTTCGTTTTTAATTCCTATAGAGGCTAGAAGATCCTCAGTGTTCGGAACAACTAATCACTGCTGCACAGGGAACAAGGTATAACACCTCAGCACGTAAAATGAGACTCTCAAGTGCCCATTTCTGTATGGACAAGGTCTTTAGTGCTTCGTGAAATCTATTTCCCCAGCTTGGCGGATGATGGGCCAAGCTCTCAAGAACACGGTGAAGATGTTGTGCCTGTTTATGATGAGATTACAGTTGAGCAAATGAAATACCTATGTCATGAAAGAGACTTCGCTATCATTAGCATGCAGCAGGGTCTGGCAGCGTACTGGCCCCCTAAATGTCATTCTATACTGAACCGTCGACACCATCCAACTCGCTCACGGCAGAGACTTCCGGGGGCACCTACGTCAACAGCCCGTCATAGTCCGCCTCCATCTCACTTCCATCTCAAATCTTCCTTCCTTGAGATTTCCAGCCAATTCGACTACGTTGTAGACTCCACCCATCTCACCAGAGCCGTGAGCCGTCTTAGTGCTCCCAGCATTTTATGTGTATGAGGTTTGCTCTGGCTGGAGAGAACGTAGATGCCATGCGTGTCGTTATCAACCTTCTGAAACAGATTTTACTTGCGAATGATCCTGAGGTTGAGGTGGTTACACCCAGGAGAAAAGACAATTTAGCAAGCTATTCAAAAGGTGACTGTTAAAGACCCTTGCCATGCCCGTGTTGATTGGCGTCAATCCCCGAACGCCTCGCAAAGCAGAATACGAGAAATTCGGTATGCACCGGAAGGACTACCTTGTAATCATCAAACAGATATCAGGGGCCCGTACTATCTTTTCCCGTCACTTACTGAAGAGCGATAATATTACTTACCACGACAGGAAATCGAAAATACTGCATACAGCCTCGGACCACTTCTTATCATCTGAGTCCTATAGAACTGACCTTCTGAAGAAGCTCAGATTTATACCAGATCGCCCAGCTTGTATAAATCAAGCGGAATGTTCTAGCAGCTAGCCCTAAATAGCCCAAATCACTCCAAGTCCTCTATTAGCTATGCGTTCAATACTGCATCTAGGTCGCGGGTCAATCACCTGATGAACGTTTGAACCCTATTGGAAAAGATGAAATTAGTCACAATATTTGCATAAAGCGCGCGTCATTTAGTGGAAGGTGGCTTTTAAAAGATACTTGGTTGACATCTAGTTGCTACATATCATACGGGAGATCTACCAAAAATGATATAACAACCGTAGTATCAGCAGTTATCTGTCTTCCTCCGCAATGAGAACATCAGAACATCAACTTTTCGATCGCAATCTTGACATTACGGATCTGGCTTTGCAGCTCCCTAGCTTCGCTAGTTGTAACACTGGCAGCGATGACAGGCCTGGACACATTGCATGCACGTCCAAGGGCTGCCTTGGAAGGAATGAACACGTACGGAACGTTCTGTACGGTCGGCAGTTAGGAGTCAACGGTGTAAATAGCTCAAAAGAGCATACCTTTTCCTCGCAAAGAAGGGGAAGATGCAAAAGAATTTCAAGGGGCTCGGTATCCGCGGTGAGGACGATGAACTCCGCCACACCACGGTTAAGCGTCTTAGTTGCTGTGGAGATGAACATCAGATAGAGGAACAGAAAAGGGGCTGGACGTTGCTCACCTTCATTGGCACCTTTTTTTAGTTGTTTGTACTGACCAGCCTGTTGGACCAAGTCCAAGATCTACGGTACCATGATGTCAGCCGTTAGTGATGAGCTCTTGAAAAAACTTACGGAGTTAGTTAGGCCCTCATCTGCAAGAGGCCATGCTTTTCCGCGTGCTTCAACCATGATGAGTAGGTGACCTCACGTTGGATTGATCCTTGGTCAAAAAAAACTTGTCGAGGATCCTGGTCTGTTCTGTAAGTAGAAAAGTTCGGTGTTGTTGTGGCTGTGGTGTGTTGGTATGTTTGTCTCGGAAGAAACCCAAGCCAACGACGTACACTAGACTGTCGTTTCAGGTGTCGTATTTGCACTACAGGAGACCCGGCCACTGGTTCCCAGTAAACAGCGGGTATTCGTTGTATAAATTTTGTAAAGGAGGTAAGTCAATTTCAGTACTATTCAATCCGTATCCAACTCGCAATCCGTCTTCCTCACCACGTCCACTCGTCCCCCATCAGACATTTCAAACCACACTACCATACGATACCACACTATCAAGCCCATCACTCCAGAATCCCGTCCTCCTAACCAGAAAAGATTTTTGAGCTGAATTTCGAAAATGGCAGAAGCAGACTACAATCGCAAGAGGTCGCGCTCTCCTTCTGACTCTGACGAGAAGAAGCATCACAAGCGTGCTAACACAGGCGCTACGGCTCACGCGGATGACTCACGAGTTGACAAACACCAGGGTTCTGGTTCATCAACCGCTACGTCTATGACTCGCGATGTGAACATGACGGAAACTCCCGCATCCGTAGTAGATACTACTGCGTCTACTCCTTCTCCTAAGGAAACTTCATCCGACAATCGACGCGACGACTCCCGCACCCGCTCTGAAGAGGCCGGAAAACCAACTTCTATGTCTGCACCACCTTCCTCGTCCTCAGCTGCCGCTCCTCCCTCAGCTATGATTCATATGCGTTGCTTGATCGTTACACAGGACGCGTCAATCATCATCGGAAAGGGTGGTTCGCATGTCAATGAGATTCGAGACAAGAGTGGCGCTCGTGTTATGGTCTCTGAGAGCATTCCCGGTAACCCTGAGAGAATTCTCAATGTTAGCGGGCCGCTTGATGCTGTATCCAAGGTAAGCTCGAGATACCTTATTACCATTTCTTTTTGTTCATCATAATCAACCGACAGGCTTTTGGTCTTATTGTACGACGGATCAATGACGAACCCTTCGATGTACCCTCAGTTCCTGGAAGTCGTGCAGTAACTATCAAGTTCATGATTCCAAACTCGCGCATGGGGTCCGTGATAGGGAAACAAGGTTCAAAAATCAAGGAAATTCAAGATGCCAGTGGAGCACGATTGAATGCAAGCGAGGGTATGCTCCCTGGTTCGACTGAGGTATAGCACAAGAATTTATTGCAAGGCAGCACCTAATTGTTTTGCGTGAATATAGCGAGTCCTGAGCGTTGCAGGTGTTGCGGATGCTATTCATATAGCAACCTACTACATCGGTAATATCCTCATTGAAGCACAAGAGCGCATGCCTTCTTCGTCTTCCAACCATTCTAGTTACCGCCCTTCCAGCTACTCTCGACGACCTCCGTATACTGGCTCGTCATATGTGCCAGGGTATGCGAACGCATCGCAGCCTTACGGTGCCCCACCGCCCCCTAATCCACCACAGCAACTTCAAACACAGCAAATATATATCCCTAATGATTTGGTGGGCTGTATTATCGGAAAAGGGGGTAGTAAAATCAACGAAATCCGCCATATGAGCGCTAGTCAGATCAAGATCATGGAACCAGGTGCCGGACTCAACGGCGCTCCAGCGCCTCCAGGTAACGAAAACGAGCGTTTGGTTGTTATAACTGGACAGCCTGCGAACATTCAGATGGCAGTACAACTGTTGTATCACGTACGTTGCTTCTGTTTAAATAATGTCAAGAATTTCCTCACGCGTGAGCCATTTCAGCGGTTGGAACAAGAGAAGCAGAAGCAGCTACGAACATCCACTTCATCTTCTTCTTGAGCTCGCAGGTGGCCCTTGGACTCATGCACTGCTACGTTGGTTTCATTTGTCGACAAATTTTCAAGCATGCTCGCTGTGCTTTCTTTTCCTTTTTGATGCTATGGCTGTGAAAGGGTCACCACGCAGATATGTACATTAGTCGCCTTGCCTGTCTTTGGTCTTCGGTCAAGCAATTTCTTTCTGCTTGCCGCTAGTGTTGGTTCGACCTAACAAGTATTTACTTAATTTTTTTTTGGTCCCTGTTGACTGTTGTCCCCACGCTTTCTGGTAAACGATAAACTATTTATGGTGAATAGTTACGTAAAACTAGCTTATTAGTGAAAAATCTACGCCAGCTGTAGAGTATAGAGGACTACAATGGCCCCACTCCCTACAGCGAAAAAATCAAAAGACACGAAGCTCAATACCAAAGGCAAACGAAAAGTAGACGATGTCGATGTCGACGATGACGACGTTCAGCAACCTAAACCGAAGAGGAACAAGCAACGCGTCTTGCTACTCTCCTCTCGGGGTATCACCCACCGCATGAGACATCTCATGAACGATCTTGAGACTCTGCTACCTCATGTGAAGAAAGGTAATGTTATATTTTTTTGACAGATTCATTAGTTCTCAATGGGATCTATCTCAGACTCTAAACTTGATTCCAAGTCGCAGTTGCATCTCCTGCCCGAGATAGCAGACCTGAACAATTGCAATAATACGCTCTACTTTGAGGCAAGGCGACATGAAGACCTATACATGTGGGCTACGAAAACACCAAATGGGCCCAGCATAAAACTGCACGTTCAAAACGTGCATACAATGGATGAACTGAAGATGACAGGAAACTGTCTAAAAGGAAGTAGAGGAATTCTCAGTTTTGACAAAGCGTTTGATCAAACGGAGTGGGGAAAGCTTACCAAAGAGGTTTTCACGCATGTACGTTCATGGGCAATAATGAAAGTAGAATACTGACGCGTGATTACGTTCCGTTCCTCCACGTAGATCTTTGGTGTTCCCCCATCGGCACGGAAAGCTAAACCGTTTATCGACCACGTTTTAACCTTTTCCATCCTCGATAACAAAATCTGGTTCCGAAATTTCCAAGTATGCTGACTCCTTCGGTTTATTGCCGAGCGTTGACTCCGTTTCTTCTCCGTAGATCATAGAAAAGGATCCGTTGCAGCCAAATGGCCCACCTCAAACATCTCTTGTTGAGATTGGTCCCCGATTTGTAATGACGCCCATCCGTATTTTTGAAGGAGCATTTGGTGGCGCAACCGTTTATTCCAATCCTGGTTCGTACACTTGAGTGAATATGTTCGTTGCTCACGTGCTCACTTCACACATAGAATTTATTACGCCTGCTTCCGTGCGCTCAGCAGTCAGACATGCCAGAGGTGACAAATACCGTCAACGGAAAGAAGCTCAGGAGGAGACATCAAAGAGAAAAGTGCTTCGTAAGAGGGACGAAGATGCACTGGCAGTATCCAAGGTGTTCGCGTAAATGCCTACACGTGTCATTAACGCACAGTTGCATCAAGTGGTAAGCACACCAACTTGGGGTGCTTATATGGTATCTCTGGATGATTATCTACATTTGTAGCGTTACACACGTTTTTCGCCTTGGCGATGACATGTATGCCATCTGCTCAACATTTACGCGACAGACGCATCAAGATCTTTCTGCACCTCCTGCTTTTGGAGCATTTCTTTACACGGCTTGCTTTGTGCTCTCTAGCGCTTCTCCGTTAATAATATCTAGTCGTGCACAGCCACCAAGTCTATGTTTGCTTTTGTACGCTCACAAAGGAAACAGCCGTTTTAATGAAACAAAAGGAATTTTGGTTGGGCAAACGTTCCCGAGTGCCTTTACTGATGCCGAAGCTCAGCCGTTCCAGATGATGGGCCACGCGCCTTTTGTTGTGTCTCAGAAGTGCAGGTTGCCATGCGTGGGTGCGTGTACATAACCGAAATATATCCTATATAACAACTCATGTCCTTCGCTTAATAGAAAATCATTTCCCTGGCTTCAGTCGCTGATATCTCCAGGATATCCCTTGTCTATTGCCTGGTAGACAGTCGATATGCCTGTGTCAATAGACATCATCCCGTTTTCAGATTCTTTGGAATTGTATGGTGAACCGGATTTTTCGTGAGCTTGAACTCAAGTCAAACGTCTCGCTTGTGCTGATAGACCTTGCTAGATCTGCGTTCTCTCTGGCAGGCCATGTTCTGATCTCACTCAGTTCGCCTTCGTTTATGTTCCAGCGCCGGCGGAGCACAACGCGTGCTTTGATGCAATCGCTCACAGTCACATTCGAGGGACAATCCGAAATAATCACTCCAGACATTGGATATGCCGCTCTGCGACTCTGCTCCATCACTCGCGAGCTTGTAATCGGTGAACCCATCGACCTTGCCAACGAAGGGCACGAAGATTCCAATAAGCCCTGCTCTTGGAATGTTATTTTTGACATCCCTGTTCCTGGTTGGTTGCCCACTACGTCTATGTACGGAGATCGCAATGCAGTTGAAGCTGGGACGCGCTATGCCTTGTATGCCACTGCAACTTTTATCTCTCTCGAGGACGGCAGCTCCTCCATATTCAGCAGCTTTTTCTCACCTTTTAGCTGTCGCACTCACACAATCAATGCGCCAAGATGTCCAGTCACCCTCATTCGTTTTGCCGAGGTTCCTTCTACCCCCTCCTCGGTGTCTTCCACTCCTGTCTTCCCGATGGCATTGTTCATCGTCGATGCGCAATCAGGAAAAGACGACACAGAAACAGACACGACAACTATTCCGCCTGACATCCTGAAGAAGATTCAGGTCGTCGCATCCATTCCCACCGCAGTGACTTTGGATGAGACATCCGTTCCTCTTATCCTGCGCTTACAAGGCAATGAACTGGACGCCTCTCAGCGAGAGCGCCTTCGAATAACTGATTTCACTGTTGATGTTGAACAGATTGAAACGTACAGGTGTGTTGCATTATTGTCCATCTACCATCCGTGGTGCTAACGACAGGTCTATTCAGGAGCATTACTTCTCTTGATCGCGTAGCTCGATTTGTGGTCCCGCCTAGGACGCAACAACCCCCTTCTTTCCCCCTTCGGAATGCACATCCTGTGCATACACTCTATGATGTCGGCTTTCTCATGACTCCATATCCTTCTAAAACTACTTCAACTCGTTCATTTTCCCTCTTCGATCCCTCAAATTCCGGGAAGTATATTATTTCCGGTGACGGTCGCGTCTTCATGCATGACTCTCCAGAGGGCGATGTGACCCCTCACTCTCCTTCAGAGAACTGGTATGTGCTGGAGGCAAATATACCTTTGGCACCAGATCCCCACCAATTGGATTGGGCTGGGATCCGCAGCCGTCGCATATCTGAAAATACCCCTCTCTTCAGCGTGTGCCACGCGATGCACATTGCACTCCGGTGCGTCTACAAACAACCCGATGGCGAGGTTGTGAGCGAACGCCTCCACTTTTCACTGCCCATGCAGCATGTGCGGGTAGCTGTCCCACTAATTATTCCGTCCCCTACCGATCGCACCACTGTGGACACAACGGAGCTCCAGAAAAGTGCTCTATACAGTCAGAGTCTTCCCGCATACTCTCAGCTCTTCCATTCGAACGGAGAACGCAAGATCGATTACTCAACTCCTCTTCCACTTTACGAACCTCCATCATCGGCTTCGTCGTCATCTTCGTTCACCCTTGATTGCAGTGACGATGATCGAAAATTAATCTCATAATTTTCTGAATTGTTGCATATACACCGACACTCGCACACAAAAACCGAAGACATCGATATTGTCATGTAATATTTGAGACGTTCAGTCCATCGCACTTTCCTTTCAATTTATTTTCGTGCTGCTTTTTCGTCCTCTTTCGTTCTGCTGATCTGGCAGCTTTGCTTGTCTTCTGTTTTCATTCGCATTGATTTAGTCCGCATACCAATCATTCCTCGCACCTCGCAACTAATCTTGGATATCAATTGTATCACCGCAACTCCGTGTTCCGTATATCATGTAACAAACCTACATTGCAACAATAGAGTCTCGTCTCACCATGAAGATAGTCCCCGATCCTAGGTAACATCTGATGTCGCTGTTATTTTATGTAACACTTGCCAGTGCTGTACCGGTCCTTCGCACTGGACGATCCACACTTCTGTGCCTTCAAAGCTCGCAAGGCACACACGCCCTTCCTCGGAGTCTCCACAGCGAAGAACAACTGTTTCTGCACCTATCTAGGCCCATCTCTGAACCTTCGATGACTGTGCTAACCCGCAGCTCATCTGCAGCCTGATTCCGCTCAGCAGCCCCATCTTCATCAGCAATATAACTGATGGACATGTGCGGAAATGCCGGGGCTGAAGGCGATGCTCCATCCCTGTCAAGCGCAGTCATGATATGTTCGTGCAGCGCGACGAGTTCGGTAGTCTTCTTCACAGATATAAAGACAGATCTGAAATAATGATCGCCGACTTCAAGCCTCCGGAATTCGACTGGGATTGAATGCAAAATAGATGGTATGGCTCGTAGAATTGCATCCTGCGTCGCCTTTGCCGAGCTTGCTAGTGTGATATGAGGGATTATATCTGGATAGGAAGCAGCGGACACTGGGCGTGTCTTAGGCCGCTTTGGCAACACCCTCTGTATGAGTTGCAATTGGGCGGGATTGGGCACCAGCCAGAGCGAGAGACCTGATATAGCTTGGTTTTGTCAAACCACAACAACGGCTGATACATACGTACCCATTCGGATCCAGAATGGTATCAATGAAGTGTACCTAGCAGAGCAACGAAAAGCTAGGAGAGCAGAGGGCAGCTCCTACTAAATCAGTGCGAGCAGCTGCGATCCATATTTGGATTAGACCCCATTACTAATAGACGATGACTCATCAAGATCAGGTCCTCGAATAATGAATTTCGGGAAAAGGAGTGTACGCAGGAAAATGAGTTACACATTGTAACGTACTGAGCACGAGTAATATTTGTTCGACACAGAATATACATGATAAAGTACACAAGCAAAAAATCAGTGATCAGAGTCCTTGTCAATTAATAGACTGGCATTACACAGCGCAGTCAGCCATTTGCGAGACCTAAACCTCATCAGTGCGCCCACGAGATCCCAAGCTCACCCAGCTGCTTTCCACTGTAGATGCACCGCCATCGCCAGAATTACTCTCGAACTCAGCCTCGGAGCCTGTCCCAAGTTCACTTACATCTTCAGGCTCGGAAAGAGACTCAGTCTGCTCAAGCGCCGATGCAGCTGCCTCTGGAGGTGATGGACGTGGAGCTGAGTGTGTTATGCTCACCGCCGAGGAAGATGATGGCAGGATTACAGAAACCGCAGTGGAGGATGGAATGTTACGAGCCACCTTTGGAATTGTGTGTGGTTGTGCAGGAGGCACAGGTAGGAGCCGATTACGGACACCAACCAATATGTGGGGTAGATTCAGCAATCCATCTAGCAGCATGCCAGGGAGGAATGACGCAAACGTGTATGTTCCTGCTGTAAGGACAGCAATTGTTAACTCACATGCATGAAAAAGACGGAAAAATAACGAACCGCCAGCACCAACAGCAAATCGGTCGCCACGAATCCAATCTCTAATTTTCTCATACCCCAAACCAACGCGTATACCGCAAATCGTTTTACTCGCTATCTTGGTTTTTGTTCCAGCACTGACGACACCAACTATATGATTCACGAGGACAGAAATGTCCTCCGGTCTGCGAGACTGTCCCATGCTAGTTTCTCCGAGTGCAGCGAATGCCTGACCATAGGTTGCTTTCTCTGAGGGAGTCCAGTCGTCCATCGCGTGTGAATTTGCAAGACTGGAAACAGGGGGTTTCGCCAACGACACCCACATCGACAGCAACGACGCGGATGGAGCTCATGCCTTGTCCAACAGCAACCTCACGGCGTAACACATCCAACGCACGAGAAGTGGCTGCTGCGCTCATGGCACTGACGCCACCGAAAGGCAATCCAACACGTGCATCAGCAGCAGGGAGACACACAATGATGGACTTGCGCCCGCCCGCGCGCTGGGCATCCCCGCGCAGTAATGGTAGGAGTGCTTGAAGTGCCTGGAGAGGAGCAAAGTGTGTGGAGAGAAGATGCGGAAGATATGTACTTCGTAAAGATAGTTGTTCGATGGGGGTTGGTGTCGTATGAATGGATGGAACCGGCAGTGTGAGTAGAGATATTATGGAATGGAGAAGCGGATGGTAAGGGGTGGCTGCATATGGGTCACCAGCGGATGTAATTGGGAACCGTCGGGATAAAGTAGATGCGAGCGACCGAAGAAAGATTGGGATGGTGCCAGGCTAAATGATCTTTGGTTAGACGAACTTGGGGAGCAGGGATCAGTGATTGCACACCTCATTGGGATCAAGGACAAGAGCTCGGACATATCCATGTCCTTTGCTTTCAATGCTGCTGACAGCTTCCGGTGTGGAGACGCTAGTGACAACGATGTATCCTTTCTGCTCAAGTTCGATGATAAGTGGGAGGCCCAGTGGGTGATCACCACCCAACACGACTAGGAAGATGTCAACTCGCAATCCAAGCGGGTAGTAGAAGTGCTTACCAACAACCTGCCGCTTCTCAGGAGTGACAGTGGTTGACCGAACTCTTCTCTTATGGACGCGCGTCATATGGAAGGTAGTGTAGCCAGCGAGTAGGCCAGCTCCAAGAGCTGTTACTGCTATGCTAGAGCTCTTCCATGGATTCTCCATAATCCAATCACCAGCCTTCTCTACGAGAGTCCTCGGGGGTGGAGGTGGAGGCGGGGGTGGAGGAACCTCAAATGCCCCAAGACCGGGGACATGTATGTCAGGGAATGAAGAAAGACCAGGTGGCCCAAATCGAGAGATATCAACCCAAAGACGGTGAACGGCCTCTCGGATGTTTGGAAGACCAGGCGAGGCGACCACCAGAGTATCTGTCAGGAAGCGTTCGAGAGACTGAAAGTACTCCTCGACTTCGTCAATTGAGGGAACCATTGCACAAAATTTGGCAGGAAAAGAGCGTAGAGATCACAGCCAAAGCCCACGCACGAAATGCGAACCCTTTGAGAGCTGGCGGAGCTGCTTCTTGCTGATTCGTATCGATATCTCGGATTCTGCCTCGTGGCTAAGTATAGGGTCTACTACCGGACTTTGCGTGCCGTTCGGCATCATTGCCAACAAACGGCCAAATAATTATGTCGGGATACTTCTATACTTTACACAAATTCAAATAAAGAGTATACCACGGAAAGCTGTCCACCACCACCCACGATAAAGCACACCCCAACCTTCCTCCTGAATAATCAGCCTCGCACAACTGATGAGTCCGGTATATTCATCTTTATCAGTCCTGAGTCTGAGGGGCAACAACTGATGAGTTAAGATGGCCCCGCAAAATGTTAATGAAAGGCTTTACCTGACAGGTTCGATGACTTCAACCGGTGGTGTATCCAGGAGAAGTGCAACTTGAGTCGCCTTGGCTTGGATAGACAGTCGAACCATCATAACTTCCAGTGGAGTGAGCACCAGAGCATTAAGGGCGAGCGAGAAGATGACGGCAGTAACCAAGAGAGGAATGTGGGGCCTCATGTCCTCCCAGTTCCCAAAGTTCTCCGGAAATTGTGTGACGAACAGAAGGTGGCGTGCTCCGATAGTGCTTACGATATATAAAACCCATGAAGTGCAGGCCGCGAGCAAGCCTGGGATGATAAATATGCGATAAGGGTGCCTCCTTTCAGTCGGAGAGAGCAATGCATCAAGCGCTCTTCGTAAAGAGAATGAAGGGATGTCTTCCCGAGTTGTCACAGCCCTTTTATGCCTTTTCAACCAATAGAAATTAAACGAGTCCCCGAATAGAACGCACCGATTGACAAAGACAGCCTCGATTACAGTTGCAATGATTTTTATGAGAGAAGCGATGGCAATTATAACAACAGTACTCTGGTCGTACACCCCAAAGTGAAGATATCCGACGACCACAATGGATGGGATAGACATTTGCTCCCAGAATAGCATGAAACCGAGGGTAGGGACTGTGTTATGGAAAGAGATAATTAGAAATCTTAAGAGAATGAATGCTTGAAGGACCCACGAATTCCTTTGTACAAACCGTCAATTCCCTAAGAAACAATGAAGCGCGAAAAGTTAGTGTCCAACCATCCTTATGTAAATTTACATGCACACCTCTTCTGTGTTGACTCGTCGCAACACGCCTATCAACGACCGAGGTTGAGAAACATGTTGGACATCGTCGATCAAGGGCAATTCTGGAACAGGTTGAACCTTGGGAGTGAAATTTGCCCGCCATCTTATCAGTGCTCCCTTCAGTGGAAACACCAATGCCGCAAAGAAGAGTTTGTAAATCATTAAGCTGCAATGTCAATGCGGAGTCGACGTAGAGTCGTGAGAGGAGAGTGGGAGATTTGTTGGTGGTATCATCCAAGCAGGATCACAATTGATTTTATGCGAGTCAATCACAACTTTCTAAAATGACAAAGACCATTAGACTGCAAGGCACGGACTCGTTATTGGCTGTGTGCCACGTCACCTATACGACCGCAAAAGATTGCAAGGCACTGCCTGGCACTGCATTGCGATACTTGTCCCTAGACTCTATTCCCGAGTATCCTAGGTTATCAAAGTATTCAGCCGAACATTGGTTCAGAGAAGACATAAGTACCATCGGCACTGAAAAAATATATTATGTACTGTCAATATTCAGTGTACCCCTCGACGATCGATCGCCAAGGAATACGAAGCATCATCTGCATGATGGCATTGAGGCTGTGTCCGCATCTGTTGTACAACTAAGTTGTTGCGCGAGACTTGAAGCGCCCTACTTATTACTTGAAAGTTTTTCGCAGGAAATCTCGGTATTAGACGGGATGTCTGAATAGGCGAGTCACTGCAAGCGTCGCTGCGTCGATCATGACTAAAGTGACTGACTGGTTTTGTGGACTGTGTGCGATAGCCAAACTCCTGACGGAGTCAGCCACTTGAACACAGCGATTCAATATGACCCGTCCGAAGGTCGGTGGAACCGAGGTACTGCTTTCTGTTACAAGAAAACACATCCACAATTCCTGCCATCCGAAACCTTCAGTAAAAATCCGATGCAATAGCCTGTCTTGGACCTTGGACCTCGTCAAGTTCGACCCGTTCGAAGGTTTGAAGGTCATAAAAAAGACGTAGTCGCAGTCGAGTTTTCACTGATAGACAGTGAATGGCGACGGCCTCGTACGACAAGACACTTTGTTTGTGGGACTTGATGAATGGTGTCTTGTTGAAGAAGATTGAGGGCGTCGCAGTGAGGTACGGGGATTAGTGGTATCACGAGATGTCCAATTCAAGCAAAAAAAAGAGAACTCATCGCTTGGCACGGAGGCAGCAACGGGTCAGAGTTGGGTCTTGGCCGCGGTGCTTTTTAGGCACACCCTTGCCAAGGCTCACAACTACCAGTTATGTATGTTCATTCGGACTTCTCTGCAGACGGTACAGCACTTGCAACAGGTTCATGGGATGAAAAGAATAAGTTTTGAAGCACGGAATCATGGCAGCTTCTGGGGGGCCTAATAAATTGTTGCGCTGCTCTCTACAAGCAAACAGTTGTTTACTGCATTCGGTATTTGCCGTTTGGTGAACATCTCGTCATCACAACAGAAAACAATATTCAAATATGGGATCAAAGCACATCACAACCTTCAAGTTTCAAGGCTTGCTTAGAGCCTGTACAGCAACAGATTATATGATGGATTATTTGTACAATTGTTCGCGCAGATTATTCCCGCGGTGTGAGCTCCAGTGTGACTTTGTGTGACATACAGTGTGACTCCGCGCTGAACCTCCTCGCTGTCAGATATGGCTCGCTCGCAAAAGCCAAAATCTGTGGCGGCAAATCCTAGGAAACCACCATCCGGAAAAACTCGTTCGACGGTGCAAGAAAATGTGCCATCTGAAATCTTGACAACCAGTACAACTCCGAGTCGAACCCATTGGACTGAAGATCACACCTTGAGGCTGATCAAGTTTCTGGCTTCATGTAGATCAGAAGCTGGTGATGGAATGAACTTCAAGATTGGAGTCTTTCAAGCTGCAGCTGCTCATTTCCTTGAGCCCCCTGAAGGAGTTTTGAAGGAAGGATGGGTGCCACCTGTTGCAAGAGATTCTTGTGCTTGCAAGAACAAGTGGGCTGCAGTAAGTGCATCTATTCTTTTCTTGATGCAACTCACACATTTTCAGATACGAAAAAAATACAAGATCGTTCTTGATATCAAGGCCCAGTCTGGCTTTTCTTGGGACAACGAGTTTGGTGCTGGCATTGACAGTACATTGGAGGCAGTATGGGCTGCATATGTCAAGGTATGGTTTTTTTTCTGCAGTATACTATGTATCTCATTTTTGATTCAAGAGGCGCCCTGATGCTGCACCATTTCACAACAAGGGATGGCCACACTTTGATGAACTCGATACTCTTTTGTCCACTACTGCTTCAAAAGGAACTCACACATTTCATGCTGCGTTGGAGGAGTCCCATGAGCAGTCACCTGATCTCGATTTTCTAAATGAAGAGGGCCTTCTGCAGCCTGACCATGTCAAGAATTCATCTCAAGATGATCAGGATGTTCTAGATGAGAGTGGGGATGATGAAGACTTGATCCCTTGGGACAAAACTCCACCTCGTCAAAGTCACACTCCAGCTCCCCTTCCGAAGCAAAAATTTGACAGTATCTCTGCTTCTACTTCCACCAGTTCAACTTTGGGTCCAGCATCAAAGAGGCATCGTGCGAGTGGTGCCGCAGCACTGTTTGCTATTGCTGACCAGTTTTCGGACTTCACTGATGCATTTCGCTCAAGTTCTCAAGCCCAGTCATCATCTCTTGCTCCATCGCCAATTCGAAGGCAGTGTGCCATGCAACGTGCCCAGAATGTCGAGACCCATCTCACTGGTGATGAAATGGCTGCTCTCATCAAAGCCTTCCAGACTGATGTCAGTGCTATGGATGCATATATGGTAATGCGAGATGACAATGCTTGTCACTCATTCATCAATCGAAAAATCACGCACATCAATAGTCAATAATTTTTTAACTTCTATGAGAATATATTAAGTTGACCTCTACTGCCTTCTATGTGTTCGTTGACATTCCCGCAGGAATACTTGGTAGTCTCGCCACATTTTGTTTCCTATCTCTTCTCTTTGTTCCTTTGCTGCTTCTCGTTCTTCAAAATTTGCTGGTCCTTCTGCTAGATCTCCCCTATCATTCCCCAACTCCGAGCCATCAATACTACCATCATTGAATTCATGTATTTTATCCGGGTCATGAATCTGAATAAAGTTGTGTACAGCACAGAGTGCGGGAGGGATACGAGCTTGGAAGGTCATGCTATATTCTGGTGGGTTTATGAGTATCGGAAATCGTCTCTTGAGTACACCAAAAATCCGTTCAACAACATTTTGTGCTTGTGCATGTCGGAGATTGTACAATTCAAGTGAATTTTTCGGTCTAGCAAAAGATGTTGGTCTGTGGACAGATTCAAGGACTTAGAAAATATGAACCTCACGGCAGCTCGGCCCCACTCTGCAAGATGGTAGCAAACATTTCGGTGAGGTACAAGCAGTGCTTCACATATACCAAACCCTGAATCAGCAAGATAATATCTTCCCTTTGGAACAAACAGATCCATCAGCTGAGCTTCATTGAACAGCATGGCATCTGATACTGATCCATCCCAGCCACTGAGGATATACTGGAATTGGAGATCAAAAGAACAGCATGCCAGGCAGTTTTGACTGATTCCTCCTTTTTGGTTATGTGCAAGATGCCTCTCATCTGCAGAGGGGCAGCAGTTGATGTGAGTGCCATCAATTGCCCCAAGAGCTCCTGCGAAGTACGGAAAGAACTTGGGGTTCTTGTGAATTTCATGTGGAATAGGAAAATCTTCTTTTGGCAAAAACACATATCTCTTGTAGAAAGGCGAGGATGAGAGAGCAAGAAGAATTCGCTTGAAGTACCTGATTTTTTTGAGTCAAGTAGACAAGCACTTTGAAAAAAATGGTACTTTGTAATTGTGGTATGTGAGTGTTGAAACCTCTCAGCAACATGTCGACTTTTGAGGCCTGTGACACAGGTATACAAAAAAATTGCTGTTTGTTCTTCAAGTGTGATGAATTTTGAGTCATCTAACCCAGAGTCCCGTAGTTCTTGAACAAGTGCAAGAAATACATGCTTTCGCATCCCAAGTTCATTTTTGATCCTTTTGGGGTGTCCATTGAGAAGTTCCTGGACCCATGCAAAGCCAGACAATATAGAAGTATGATATGGCTCTTTGTCAAGGTATGGAGTAATACAGGCTACAGCAATTGTAATAATTAACTGTGCAATCATTGCTGCAACAGTTTACAAGAGATGGAGCCTGTGTGGCAGGTCCTTTGGATGAGGCATGGTATGATGTCAGCGCAGTTTTGCCCCTATGTTAGGGTTTGGATGAGTGATGTCGGAAGGTGCCGAAAAGTCACACCAGGTTGTGTGGGAATAATCTGTACAAATAATCCAAAGCGATAATCTGTGTAATAATCTGTTGCTGTACAGGCCCTTATGCAGCAATTGCTGAACTTAAAGAAGGCAGTGAAGATGAGGAATCTAAACTATAGGGAAAGTTGGTGCTAAGCCAAGAAAACACAGATAGTTCCAGGTGCGAGTGATATATCGACCCAAGGGCAGCTGTCTGAGTCAAGGGAAACCTCTCTTATAAAAAGAAGGACACCAAACTACTACTAAGGTAATAGGACTATGAAATGTGCAAAGTGCAAGGCGAGAGTGATGCGTGATACGATAAGCAGACATGTGTAGTGATGTGTGGGCCTGGCTTGGCATGAAAGCCCTGGCTTGGGCTTGGATTTTGGGGGCTTAGGCCTTGCAAAACCTTAGGCCAAGCCATGGGCCAAAGCTGCAGCTCGGCTTGGGCTCAATGATGGCTTTCAAAAACAAATGACTCAAAATTCAATATAGTAAGTAGTGCTCGAGTCCTACAGTACCTCATTGTCATCCACTGAATCAACATCAGACTCTGAATCTTCCTCCTCCAAAATCAGTGTATCCCATCCAGGCTCATCATCTGCTGGCTTGACTTCTAACCCATCAGTCTCATGTTCGGACACATTGTAAAGCCTCCACAATGTCTCCTTCCAGCCAATTTGCTGCTTAGTAATTGTGATGCCTCCTTGTGAGAAAACTCACTCGCTCGATACAGATGCTACCATGATGGACAAGTAGTCCCTTGCCAGCAAAGCCCACACTGGATACCTTAGGGCATTGATCTTAACCAAAACAACAGTCAGCATCAAGTGAGTAGCAAGTAAAATGACTTATACCCCACTACTAAATAGTGGTCATACCTGCCAAGGGAGCAGCCTCAATGGTTTTGATGGATCTCTGATGGATGTGGCTCCTGGTTCTGCCTCAGAGTTATCTTCAGAGTTGCTCTGAACTTTCCAAATGAGTCTCTTGAGGCTGCCAATCTTACTTTTTGTAGTTGCAGGCTGTGACAATACAAGTGACTGATTGAGCTTGTTGTAGTGTTGTTCAAAGACATTCTCAGCACAAGCAAGCAAATCATCAAGCAAATTTGATGGCCAGTGCTTTTTGAAGTATGTAAGTTTGGATGTTGGATCAAGTACTAGTATGGTAAAGTTTGTTAGAGTCGGGATGATAAGAATAGAAAACAACAAACACATGGCAATAACATAGGCAGCAGTGTAGTTTTCTTGTAATATTCATCTAGCTTCTCTGCTGCTGTCTTGAGTGGACTAGCAAACTAAATGTACTTGTGCCTTTCCGCTTGCAAAGACCATGATTTGTGAAGTGTCTCTAGTGCAGGAATTGTGAGATGGAGAGTTGATCCTTGATCAGACAAGAAAGCCTGCTGTGCCACATCAGCATAGGAAAGAAGGTCTGTGAACTGGCTAACCCATGTCCACTTGGCAGATGTCAATTGCAGAAAGTCAATTTTGGCATGCTTTGATAAATTTTGCTCTTGGCATCCCATTTCATACACAAACATATCAACATGCTTTAATGGCAAGTCAGAGTAAGAACAAAAAGGTGTGGTGGTGTATCATACCTGCTTGTTGCAATCAGCATGATTAAGCATGATGTAAGTTGAAGACCAGCGGACCTTGATATCAATTAGTAGTTGTGTTGGCAAAGAGACACCTGCTTTCATCTAAACAGTTCTATATAGCTCTTTCTGTTTTGCCAAGAAACATTCTTTGACACAGATGCTGCGGACCAGACTAATCTCATCATAATTGATCCTCTGAGCTAGATCCGGTTCATGAGCATGTAGGTTATGGGGGTTATAGTGGGGTGCCTTGCTATAGGTGCTGATGAGTTGTTGTGTGCTGAGGTTAATAACATGTGCTAAACAACTGTCAGGCTTGTTAGCAGTTCCATCAACCAAATCGAAAAGACTCACTTTACCTTGCATTGATGCCATGGGAAGTCTTTGTGGTACTTTGCCTCATACAACTTCGAGAATTCCTGCAACATGGTACTATTGTTTGCTGCATTGTCATATGTGACATGGCCAATCTAGGTCGAGATATAAGCACTGTTATTGAGGAGGTGGAATTTTACTGACTTTGTGTGTGACACTGACATGATCAAGCACCTTGAATAATGCACCACCTAAGCACTGGCCATTATGGGCATTATTGAGCCAAGTAAAGCCAAGTAATGCATTCCCAGATACCCATTGCATCAGATTGTTTTCTTTGATCCAGTGGCCAGTGATGGCAAAATAACCATTTGAGTTATCGGCCTGCCATGTGTCACATGTAATATTGACTGCACCACTGACGGATTGGCACTAAAATCGTGTCAGATACAAGCAGATACTGTGAAGCATGGTACATACATTCAATTTCTTCTTGAGTTTGGTCAAATGGTTCTTGAAAACACACGTGGCCTTTCAGCCTGGAATCTTAACTCCCTGTGTGGCACATGAGGCAACATCTATCATTTCTTTGAACTTAGAGTGCTCAAGAGCCTGTATGGGCTAAATTCTGTTAGTTTTCAGCCAACAATATCAATATGAATGAGTCTTACTTGATCTGTGGTGACAAGCCACTCAATTGCAGCTTTTCTAAAATTCTGATGGGTGTAAGGGATGGTGTGCTCTGACAATTTGCGCTCGGTCAAGTGCACATCAATCTGTTGCTGTGCTTGCATGGCTTTCTTTTTCTTGGCTGCGAGGTCACCCAGCAATTTAGATGCATTGGCCTTGGCCCATGTTTGGTAATTTCCTGCAAATTTGGCTTCTGCATGACAGCGGAGGGTTGACGTCTCGTTTACAATGGTACATTGAGCCCTAGTAGTAGCAAATATGTAGTGTTAGTGATGTAAAGAAATATGCAAATGATATGACAACATATGGACAAACTTTGCACTTTCGATGTTTTTTGACCTTGCTGTTAGTGTGAGTGCACTCAAATGGTTGACTGAAGAATTGGTCGATGTTGTGAGTTCTATCTTTGCATGTGGGAGAGGTAGATTCATTGATGATGAGGTACATTATCTTGCAGATAGACTTACACTTTGGATTTGTCTGTGCATCTTCACGCTCATTATCACCAGATATCTCATCTTCATCAATTTCTTTGACACGTGCCCTTTTGCTGGTGGTTTCAGGTGTGGTGGTGTCAATGTTTGATGCATGAGTAGATGGGATGAGTGCTTGTGGTGGTTCAGTGGCCAGAGGATGGGTGTCATCGGTGGTGAGCTTCAATGCCTCTGCAGCATGAAAGGCATTGATGGCTCTTGTTTGAGAGGGGAGAGCTGTCTTCTTGGAGTGCTCCAGGAGTGCAGTGGTTGGTTTGACTTTGCACACTGAAATCGGACCATACTACTACTAGTACCAACTTCAGATTTGAAGAACTGTAACCAACATTGGATCTCAAAGACTCAAACAATAACCATTGACTTGGGCTTGAAGCCAGCTGCATCTTTGAGTCTGCTAGCAACTCCAAAGTGCAATGTGCTGAGGCCACTGTAACAATAGTTGCAGCGCTGGAATCAAAACCTGCATTTCTGATACTCATGTCAAACAGTCCTTGTCTGATGCATCTCCAACATTCCAATCCTGATCCCGATGCCTGATGCCGACCCAAAAGTTTTGGACCCAACATTTTTGCATTGGACTCGTCCTTCCTATGTCCTGTCCAGTCGTATATATCCCCACTGGTGTGTATTTACTCATTTTTGCATTATTGAATATTACAGACAGCATTATTACATGTTATCTACAAAAGGTGCAGTACTCATGCTCTTTTACATACATTCAGACCTGATTTTGTGCTACTGTTTTTGCCTAATGCACTCCAAAATTCTACATAGACACTATATAATATCTAGTACTTCCTACCTATGAAATTACTTACTTTTCCCTACTCAGTGGTAGGATGGAAGTTATTGGATATTAGTAGTACTTTATTGTATTGCGAAATATCTATCCGCTCTTTTACTCCGAAACATTTCCGAAACATCTGACACTCATTATTTCCAACAGTCTGACACATAGTCTGACACCTAACCTGACTCCGATATTTTTGGACCCAACAGTTTGCCTTTGGACAAGTAGATTCCTGGCTTCGGATTATCTTTCTATTATTGATAACTAACTATCTAAACTAATACCAAATAGCTACCCCTATAGGATCAAATGCACTTGCCTTGCAAGTATAGCAGCATAGGTCATGCTAAAGATCTACCTAAATATTGTTGTCTAGGTAGTACCATTTTTGCTGAGCCCAGCAGGAATTAGCTTTCTACACCGGAATGCATAGGCAAAACTAGTAGTGAGATAAGCAAGTCCAAATCCTATGTAATAAGCTGCAAGGCAAGCTGCAATGCAAGTATACATGTAATAAGGCATGAGGTCTATCATTTATATGTATTCCAAGACTCCCAACAGGGTGCTGATGGTAGTTATCCTTGTGACTACTACAACATAGTCAACATATAGACAGAATAAGGGAAAATGCATTAACAAAGTCAGAAGGACGAGGATAGGGTGATCCACAAGGTTTGGACGGGCCTCAGAACAAAAGGACTGTCTGTAAACAGTTCAGATGAGTGTGCACAACCTTTGGAAGATCAAGAGAGGTCAAGGGATGGTATGTGATGCATGTGTTAGAATGGCTGGCTCCAAGCCCAGTGCTGCAACCATTGTTACACCAGTGTTCCTCCAAGTACTAATGAATATACTCCATTGACTCCAAATATTAAGGTGAGTTTTCACATTTGCCCCTTAGTCTATCATCAGGAATTTGCATGATGCCTAAGCGGACCTATGAAGCCTATGTAGACCATTTGGGTCCTTAGGTAAATCCCGCCTACATAGGCCGCATCTAGACACACCTGTATAGCATATTAAGTTCATAGACACTGTATTTACCGTAGGCACTCGAAATATGTAGGTTACTGTATACACATTCATAATCTATAGGACTTGTATGCTCAATGAGGCCCATGTAATGCATAATTGGATCTCTCCCTTGCATTGAACACACTAGTATACTATAGTACTAGCTAATACTCATCGTCCAACTCGACACACCTATCCCATTCTGCCACTGCTGCCGCAAATTCTTCAGTTGAGAAGTTGTCCGATGTCCCACCAACACCAATTGGATCCTCGAGGACATTTGCATGGAGACTGTGTGTCTATCAGCAAGACTAACAGATATCAAGCTTGTTGGACCACATACCAAGCATGTCTCAGAAGCCTCTTGCAAATCTTGGGCAAAATATCAGTGTGCTTCATCCCCTCGTCAAAGTCAATGAGCATCTTGTGGTAAATCTTGAAGACAGCAGCAGGGCACTCTTTGTAGAAGCACATCTTAATTCTCATGCCAGTTGTCCACTCCGCCACACAAGCCTCGATCTATGATAGCCAGTTAGTTGTGAAAACAACCCTAGTCCCAAAAGACTCGCCCCAGTAAGGACCGCTGCCATGATATCTAAGCTTGCTCTGCCAGTGGTAGGGTCCTTGAAGTAGCTTGCCAGTGTGACACCCATCGAGTTCTTCCTATTGTAGCACCATTTAATCATGCCCTTCAGAATAATGTTGGCCTCGAATAGTCCTTTGCCTGCTTTGCGGTTCTGTAATGTTACATTCAGTCCAAGCCATCAAATAAATCGAATCAGTATGGCCTGACCTTGCATGTGAGGAGCTTGCAGTTTCCGATAAGAGTGGCAGCAAGTGCTGCATTAGATTTCATCGCCTCTGGAGTTTTTTTATTACTCAATCCAAACTCAGTCTCAACTAGTGGGCGGAGCACAATCTTGAGGTTGCTGCGCAAATTTGAGCCGCGATCGGTGATTTATATTATCAGTCAGACTTGTGAGTTGTTGACAGTACAAGTAATATACTCACCAATTTGTATGCATCCTCATCATAATCAATACAAACCCCTTGAGAGCGGCAAGTGGCCACTCAAGCTTGACCAGACCAGTCATGTGCTTGTATATAATTAGGATAAATGGTCTAGTTGGCCAGAATTGACTGGTAGTGGCTGACCGCAAGATGAACTGTTGTGGAATACAATTTGTCAAAGTCAGCTGAACGAATGTGACCACAAGTACCGCCCTTGCTCATCTTTACTTTTTTGACAAACTGCAGACCCTCAGTAGTAGCAAGTGCAAGATGACCAGCACATTTCATTCCAACAGACGAAAGTGGCAATGGCACTTATTGGGAAGGTGTGAGTGCACTGACACAAGGGTGATGCACACCTGGGTAGTTTAGCATTGCAGGTGACTCAGGGTGACCATACTCCATCAATTCTCTACCACCTGATTCCACAGATGCACCAGCATGTTCACCCTCTGCATTTACCAGCCGCCTTGAAAGTGATTCCAATGGAGATGACATAGGTTGTCCATACTCTCCTGGCCACACATTGCATCCGAGTCTAGTGATCCCTCTGCGGGAGTTCTGTGCAACCAAGCCCCGTTCCCTTGGTGTGGTGCAGGCATTAGGCTCTTTGTGCACCTGCGGGATAGCCTAACAGTCTATACATTGTCAGAAGTATAGTTATGATAGAAAACCTTAACTAACCAGTTGTGCAAAGCTGTGCCCATGATGTTGTGTGGTACGATCTTCTAAGAGTGTTGGATCAATGACATCATCAGATGGTGGCATGTGCCTCACAGGCACTGATGGAATGTTTGAGGCTCACTGAGTGAGATGTGGTGGCATCTGAGAGGTTCAAGCAAGAGCTGGCTTGCATGCTACACTGGGTGGGACAGGTTTAAACACAAACTAAAATGAATCTTGAGAAAGAGTTCTCATTAATACAAACAAAGTTCGCACCACATCCTGATCCAACTCCAGATCTGACTCCGATTCTGGGTCCAAACATTGAAATTCATTAAGCTCTTCAAGAGCTTGTCTGGTCCTGAGAGCTTGTTGAGCATATTTCTCAGTTTTATTGGTTTCCTTGGCTTGTGAGGCGTCTTCTGTAGTACATCAATAGTTAGTAGGTAGTAGTATGATTTGGTAATAAGTACCTTAGGCTTGCTTTTTAATGGTATTGCGATGCACTCAGCCCTCACGAGTGTCTCCACTGGCCACATCAAAATCTATGCCATGATCAATGTCCAAACCATGTTCCGCATTGGGCACTTTTTTCTTGCATCTGCATCCAGCCATCTGTGTGGCCAAGAGTCTGATCAGTGATGACAGGAGGATAACACAAGTTAAAAAAAAATGGATCCCAGTTTTACCCAGGTCTGCAGCAAGATGCAGGATGGTCCCAAGACTTGGGATAGACTCGGATGTCAGATGTCAAAACATTGGAACCCAATGAATAATCAAAAACACTCACTTCAATATGCCAAATTGCAAGGACTGTGGCCATTGGGTCCCCACAACCTCTGGGCTCAACAAGCATATCACCAAGTCCCAACAATACCACAAGAAGTGGCTCAAACAGCTGCAGGATTTCAGTGTCAATGTCTTTAATCTGGGTGGGGGGTTTGTTGAGCCGGGGCCAGAAGAACATGGTGACGGCAGTGAAGACGGACTAGAAGAACTTGATTTCGCCAATGAATTTGACATACCACTGGAAGAGCCAGACTTACCTCACATTACAAGTGAAGAACCATGCCACCAAGTGCAAGTTGAAGTCGAAGAGGTGCCAGACGAGTATGAACCTGTGCAAGTTGGCCTGGGAGACAATGCTCGTTGGATTGAAACCTATCCTACAGAGGCATTAGCAGGTGTGCCAGTGACAACTCAGGAGAACATGCCCACAAAGTTTCACAGAATACAAGCAGACTTGGAGAACAGCAGCAACAGAATGTGGGGACCTTTTGAAGATGAAGATGAGTGGGAGCTTGCAAAGTGGCTCATTCAAAATGTGGGCCAAAATCAGGCTGACAAGTTCCTAAAGCTTCCAATTGTGAGTTGCCTGAGTACTTGATGGTACAACAAATGATCAAATGATTTCGTTATCAAGATCAAGGAACATACCAGACCTTCATATACAACCAACAAGTCATTCTTGAAGAAAATTGATGGCCTACCCACAAAAGGTCCTAAGTGGCATTATGACCTCATCAAGGTTGCAGGAGATGTTGTTGATACAGATGGCGAGATGTTGACAACCAAGTTGGAGTTGTGGCAGTGTGACCCAGTAGAATGTATTTGGGAACTTATTGGAAACCCACCATTCAAGGATGTTATGGCCTTTGCACCGGAATGAGCCTATGAAGACACCTTGGGAAAGAGTCGGATATATGATGATATGTGGATATGTGATTGGTGGTGGGAGACACAGGTAAGTGTCAAATCAGTTTGATGTGGACTTGGTACATACTACAATGCCTACTAACTGACTTGTATTCAACAGAGCAAATTAGCACCAGGTGCTACTATAGCACCAGTCATCCTCGCCTCTGACAAAACAAGTCTGTCTCAGTTTCGTGGAGATAAGTCAGCATGGCCTGTCTATCTAACTATTGGCAACATCGACAAGGAAACACGCTAGAAACCATGGATGCATGGCGCCATCCTGATTGGCTATCTACTTGTGGCAAAGCTAGACTGCTTTAGTAAAGCCACTTGGTCAGTGGCAGGGTACCGTCTTTTTCATGAGTGCATGCAACGTCTTTTGTAACCCTTGATTACAGCAGGGCAGGAGGGAGTTGGAATGGTATGCACAGATGACAGGGTGCAGAGAGTACATCCTATCCTAGCAGCTTATGTTGCAGATCACCCTGAGCAGTGCCTTGTTGCATGTACCAAAGAGAGTTTTTGCCCAAAGTGCCGTGTTCATCGTCAAAATTGAGGAGAACCTCTTGACTCCCTTCTTTGTAACCCAGACCAAATGATGACAATCCTACAGCACAAGCAATCCAGCCAGAGAGTGGCCGCTTATACACGACAAGGCCTATGTCCTGTCTATTGTCCTTTCTGGGCAGATCTGCCCCATGCCAACATCTTTGCAAGTGTCACACCTGATATATTACATCAACTCCATAAAGGAGTCTTCCACAATCATCTTCTGAAGTGGTGTACTGAGATTGCAGAAGAAGAACAGATTGACAAGTGATATCGCACAATGACCAACTACCCCAGCCTTTGATATTTCTCCAAAGGGATTTCTCTCGTGTCTCAGTGGACAGGGACAGAGCACTGTGAAATGCAACATGTATTTCTAGGTGTCCTTGCAGGTGCCGTTCAGCCCACCGTATTTTGTGCTGCACAGGCTGTGCTGGATTTTATCTTCTATGCTCAGTTTCATTCTCACACATCACAGACTCTTGATGCACTCAAAAATGCACTGGATGAGTTTCATGTGCACAAATACATTTTCAAGGATCTCTGTATGCAATGATTTCAATATACCCAAGCTCCATTCAATGACACACTATGTCAAGTCAATCAAGTCACATGGATCGGCCAATGGTTTTAACACTGAATTCCCAAAACGTTTACATATCAATTTCGCCAAGAATGTGTACCATGCAACAAATAGGCGAGACTATGTAGCACAGATGACTAAATGGTTGATGCGACAGGATATGGTGGACCAGTTTTCTGCTTACCTTGACTGGTGTTTGTAGAGATTCCAGGAGCTGGCAGACACTGGTGGAGATGAGGAAGACGATGAGAATGAGACCATCTTGAATGATGAAGTAACCACTCGGAGCGCCATTCATACTGCAAATGATGGCTCACAAACCAGCACCTAGGGCATCAGTGACCAGCTAACACATATCCTCTTAGCATGTCCTTCATTCAGGGCATTGACTGTTGCTGCAATTACACACACTTTCGGTGCTCTGAATTTTTTGCTGGCACTGACACAACATCTGCGCAATGCTGCACCTAATGGACCTGTTGTTAGTGAATGGGATCATTTTGATGGTTATCGACGACTCTCCATCCCATATGCAAAGTTACCTGTGGTTCACATGGGAAAGGATCTTGATTGGATTCGTGCAACCCCCCAAACTGCACCAGCAGGGCGTTCATTCAGTACTGTTGAAAAATTTGACACTGTACTTGTGCATGTGGGCAGAGACAATGAGCACACTCGAGGCACTGCATTAGAAGGTATGTAGCTGGCAACAACTATATACACAATTCCAACTAATACTCACATCCAGGTCTTCAAATTGTGCAGCTTCGATTCATTTTTGATATCCCATGTCACTTAAGAGTGGCGGGACAACTGTGTCATTTAGCTTATGTTGAATGGTTTCAACCATTTTGTGTGCGAGATGAATTGTTTCAGATGCACGCTGTTACACGCTCTTATGCTGGTCGTGCACCCCGCTCCAGCATAATCCCTGTGTCAAGCATCATTCATAGCTGTCACCTCATTTCAAAATTCGGCACTCAAGTGGACAGGAGTTGGGTTGCAGCGCATGTATTGGATAGCTGTAAGACATTCTACCTTAATACATGGATAGATATGTACACTTTTTATAAATTTTGCAACAAGAAGGCTTGAAAAAAATTGGTGCTCAAATGGTTATATCACCCTGAACCTCATTTTCCTTGCATGAATCAGTGGTCTCTGGCAACCGGTGGCATAAGGTGTTGATTTTGAGTAACTGAGCTTGGCGGTTGGCCTCAGTGAGCGTCTTCTCGGTATCCCAACAGTGTTCAATAAGTTGTCGAAGGTATCCAACCGTCACCTCGACAATTTCTAACATGAATGGACCATTATTCAATAAGTATGTGGGACTAGGCCAGTGACAATGATATACTCACTGCTATCCTGTCAACATTGTTCCTCTTCTGCCTCCCTCCTCTCCCGGGCCCATTGCAGATTAAGAGCTTCTTCCTTCTTGAGCTTTTCTAGTTGGATGCTGGCCCACTGGCAAAGAGGCAGACTGTGAGGGAATAATGATATGTGAACAATATACAATTCAATAACTCCCAACTTACAATTTAACCCTAGGCTCGTCCTGGGGCATGTCATTGCCATTGACTTGGAGAGGCTCACTGGTGGGAGAGGGTGTGCTGGGCATGATGTCGTTGGGACAATGGGTGTCCAACTCGGAGTCTGACTCGTAGTCGGCTGACTGGGTGGGACATGGATTGTTGGAGTTGTCAGTAAGTGAACATTGTGATAAATTTTATAAGGACATACTGTTTGAGAGATTTGTCTGCCATTGCAGTTAGTAATGTGGTCTGAGGTATCCAAGTAAAAAAGACGCATACTAGAGAAAGAAATTTGCGTGTACAGGAATTGAGCCGTCTACAGAACCTACAGAGCCTATGATAGACCTATTTAGGAGCACGTGATCTAAACATGCGTACATAGGAAACAGCTGCCTACAGGAATTTTGCATTTTCCTGATGATGTTCTCTCTAAATTTTGGTGGTCACACATTTTAGGCCCTTCCATCTGATGTATAGAAGGTCAATACCAAATTGGCACTTTTGAATGCACAATGGAGAATAAGTCTCATGCACCTACTTATGGAACCTGGGAGACCTATGGTGTTGATTGTCCAGAGAATCTCAATACTGCTGACCATTTCCAGGATACATATCTTCAACCTCTCAAGATATTTGATAATGTTATTGGAGAAATTGTAGATATACAAAACCTCCTCTTAGTCAGAACTAAACTAACCTAGTTTCACAGCTACACCCATATGCAAAGATTGCACTAGATGTGTTGTCCTGGGCGGCTAAAGTATATTTTCACTTTATCTCTTATCATCTCTCACTACTTAGCAATTATTTATGCAGATTATTATAGCTCAAACAAAATGCAACCAAAACATACTCAGACTTCTTAGTAGGTTATGTAGTATTTATAACTTCATGACACAAAATGAAAAGCTCAACCAAATTATATCAATATGCTCTATTCTTGGAAAAATTTGTTGGCAGATCCACGAATGTGCCTGTTTTATTCAAGATTATTTGGACACTACAGAATTTTGTAAGTATTACAAGCTGCTGTACTCTGTATAATCTCAAGCTTCTATCATTGTCACAAAGGCCAAGAATTGGAATTTTTTTTTGGAAACAACAAATATAATCCATAAGTATAATGAGGTATTAGATAGGCTCATGAAAAGCTTCTAGGACCAAGTTTCTCATAACAAAAATGTATATGTCCATAACATGGCCATATATGATCACTATTAAGAACCAAGTTAGATGGACAGAACAAACACATTGGGGAAGTAGTTATTCTAGATGGAGCAAAGGAGCTAGGCCTCAGCTTATGTACTGTGTCTCTTATCTAAGTTTGTGCCCCTAAATTTCAGATGAAGTCCAGAGTAAACCAATGAAGTCTGAGGGTGTCTCAGAGATAAGCTACTCTTTAGAAGAGCATTAGATAATTTTCAGAAAAGTGCAGAAAACTTTGGTGGAGATTTGTCTGCCAGATGAAGGAAGGTGTATAGACTACTTAGAACAAGTTCTGAATAGATATAGAGGAGGAAATAACTGCTGAAACAAAGTCTGAAGCAGGACAAGAAGAGTATGAGTGTGAGAATATGGATCCTAGTGGATCTAGAGACATGGAAATGCTGGAGGAGTGAGGTTTTAGCTTAAGGAACTGGTCTCTAGACCTAAAACAAAAGAGTGAAGAAGCAAGGTTATGGTTCAGTAGAGCAACATACAAACAGCATTGGTTTTCCCTCCAGTTTTGCACAGCATGTATGAGCACATACTTATGTTTAATGTTTGAATGCAAACTAAATATAAACCAAACATCCTGAACATGTTTGAGGATGTCTAGTTCAATGTTTAGTTTAGCAGCTGAACCAAATATATGATTGTATTTAGCATTTGCAAAATTTTCTCTTAAACTGGACTAAACCAGACTTCTGCATCACTGGTACCAAAATCATTCATCTACTTTATAAAAACTCTATTCATAGCATAAAAGTTATTCACCTGTTTACTCAAGTCATCTCATACTGGCCATTATCAACGACAAGCTCAAGATGAGCCTGCTCATTGTGTATCAGGCCACAGATCATAGTATGGTGGATAATAACTGAGAATAGTGTAGTACAAATGAACAGACCATAGATACAGGGTCTATTGAGGCAAATGAGGATTCAATGTCTAGTGTAGTAGTAGTTATGAACATCACCTTCATAGAACTCAGTCCAACTGCTTCTGAGCATATATACTATAAGTGAGTGGGATAGGATGATGCCCACATGTACACTCAGCTTTAGGACAAATGTCCCAACCAAACATAGAGGCATGTGAGGGCACCTAAGGTAAAAATGAGGCTTATACCAGATCATAGGTGCTGGCATGCTAACTTACAGCACCACTAGCACCTCTTTGGTATACAAGTTATAATTAAGCTAGAACTTGAATAAAATATGAAATTAGCATAAAATAATACTGTATTCCCAGGGCATCCTTGATACTCAGGGACATAAATGCATAAGACTAATGGTGGACAGTTATGGATCAGAGCCTAAGTGTCTGAAAGTGTCCCACTTTAAAGGGAAGCCATGTGTAGTACTTACATTGGTAATTCAAATGAACAGACACTCACCTTGCATCAACACCCCCTCTCTGAAGGATTGTCAAATTCTGGCATATAGCTAAAGCCAATGTATATGTGTATGGATCAGAAACAGTACCAGTTACTGAAACAGTGAATTATCTCTAACTGTCTGGGTTCATTATTGGCTAATGAAATGTCCTTTATAGTAACTCTTTCTGGTGGACATCTCAATGTCATGTCAATGTCATTGCTGCACTGGGTGGTGTCGAGAAATTCTTGGAGCATACACTTTTGAAAGGAACTTATTTCCCTACTTGGTAGGGTCTCTTTTGGGAGAAGGTGTTTGGATTTGAAGAGTCTATGCAATACAGGAAAATCATCAATGCCCAGAGGTCAGGTCTTAACCAGATTACTCACTATTGGTTCATGCTTTGGCCATGTTCAATCATCAATCATGCCAATTGGACTATATGTCTGACTTAATGAGTATCTGCTCATCGTTAACTGGTGCTACAATCAGCATGGATCTGGTCTACAACATACAGCCCAGTGTAGAGCCTTGCGCCTCCACAGGCACTTCCCTCAAATTCTCCTACATTCTCTACACACTCCAGCTCTAATCCCAAGGATACATCTTACGCAGTAGCACTTCATATATTTTACTTTGCAGATTCCGCGCGCACTGCACATCCGCATTAGCATCGTCCACATACCCATCCATCTGTCCTCCCCATGTCCTTAGATGTCCATTAGTGCATGTTCTTACTATATTCCCATTTTGACTAATTGTTTTCATCGCTAATTCTCAGCCTAGCGCTACACGCGCAGCCAAGACCCTATTACCTATCTCGCATACTATATTTAGCTTACTCGGCTCGCTACATCGGACCTGCGCACCTAGCGGCACTTAGCCATCTTTACATATACTATCTCTTTACTCTATTTTTGGGGTTGATTTTCTGTGTGTCTCTAGATACTAAGAATTTTACTCATTGTCTGCAAGTGACTATCCAAAGTCGTGTGCTTCGGTTCTCAGTCTCCATCTTAGCATCAACCAACCATAGTTGGGGTGTTAACACTTGTCTCACCTCATCTTTCCCTTGCTTCTCTCGCTCGCTTGTCCCTCACCTTCGCTCACGCATCTCAACCTTCACCCTTTTGCACTTGCGCGTCATCATGCACGTTTGCCTTTCATACATCGCATCATTTCCGCTTTGCGCGTTACTTAGACTTAGTACTTCATTAGTTGTTTGGTGTCCCTTTTTTTACAAAGAGAGGTTTCCTTCACTCAGTTAGCTGCCCTTGGGACAACGATTTCACTCGCGCCCGGGTCTATCTGTGTTTGCTTAGCTTAGCACCAACTTCCCCTACAGTTTAGATTCCTCATCTTTACTGGCCCGGTATGAAGCCTCTAATCTAGTAGCCCTAGCACGAAGACCAATTCGGCATGCCACATCTTTTGTGAGTATTCACAAGGATCTCCAGTTGAGCCTACAGGAGCCTTACTTCAACAGTCAGAACCACTCGGGATTGTTCTTGAACTTGGTTATTTGTTTTGCCGACAACACTGATGTATATCATTGTAGAGATTTGCATAATTACAGGCTTGCAACATGTTATACTTCAGTCCATACCACCTGGGTTTGCAGCACCAACTTGCAGCATCATTCCCTGACCTTTCCTTAGCTATTTCCATATCAGGTGACACTTTCCCGTGCCTCACAATGCCCTTGCATCACTCACTTTCCTGCGTTTTCATCGCCCTATCATCCAGGAGCATCCATCCACTGTCCAGCAAGTCTCACTGGTATGTATTTCTGCATTTTTATCAAAATAGCACCATATTAGAGCATGGACCCTAACTTACATACCTTATTACATACATTATCTCCTACTTGCTTCACTTAGCAAGACACATATATAGGTCTGCATTTTTCACTCTTTACTAGACCACTCCTTACCTTAGTGGAGTTCCCCATCATGTCCATAGCTAGAGTCAGAATCCATTAGCA